ACCCTCGTTTTTCAAAATCCATTCATTGAAAGTGCATTTAATTTTTTACATTTAATTTAGATATCAAATTCAACCAAAATTATGTTGTTTAATTATACATAAATACGATTTTTATCTATGTCATTATTCAATCATAATATTTGGCAATCACAATTCAATATCTAAGATGTCACTGTCATGTGACATCTTAGATATTGAATTGTGATTGACAACTTTGACAGGAGCCTCAAAAACTTCAAACCACAGATTTCATATAACAAAAGACATTTACAGTACAGATTATAAAAATTAAAAAGTAAACAATGGGTCTACTTGACACAAATGTTAAATAGATAGCACTAACATCTAATGTTATTATCAGCTTATTATTTCTAGATACGCAGAAACGCGATTTGAGACTTTAATTGGTTTTAATAAAGTACATATTGCTTTATTACTACAGAAATTTATGTTTGTCAAAGAAAATCTGACGCGTGACAGATGATTAGTGATCAAATTGTACAGTTTGGAGAAAAGACAAGTTTAATTCAAAACATTTTTTATCAATTGAGATAAATATGATTTTAATTATTGTTATATGAATGTAAAGCTAATATTTTTTTATAATTCATAATTCTATAAAGATGTTATTTTTTTTAATATAACAGTGGTTTTATAGCTTTATTCGTTGTACATATATATGTATGTAAGTGAATCCAAACTTGTCTTTCATCCGCGGTCTCATTAATTTCACAAACGTCTACAAAATCCCGTACGACATCAGATTAAATAGTTGTCAAGAGTATGACAGAGCCGATGTAGCTACAATGGGCGGCATTCGCTTGTTAGCTTAGCCGTTATGACGGGTGGACGTTAAATTATTTCCTTTAATCGATATCAAGATAATAGACAGCGCTAGTAATGGCGACATTTGTCTAATAATTTTATACGTCAATTCTAAGGCACCCTAATTATACTGAGATTGATAGTAATGGATTTTTGCTTTTGCATTAATTTTAACGAAACAGTCTAATTTACGTATGACCACTCGTGGTTAAAAGGCCCGACTCTTATGCACGAGGGCACGGGTTCGATCCTGGCCCTGGCAAGTACCAATGTGATTTTTCCGAGTCATATGTACTTTCTAAGAGTATTTAGACATCACTGATTAATGCATTCCCAAAGAGGGTTAATGTCAGACAGGCGGCCGGTCGTAAAAACAATTAGCCAAAACTATTTACAACATGTAAGGCAGACCCTGGCTATAGCTGGGAAATTGCCAGGAAGAAGAAGAGTCTAATTTACGTATGCAAAGTGCAAAAGAATATTAAAAAGCAGATATTTTTAATATGTATAAAATATATTTTAAGGATGTTTGAGGTGTCTACCAGAGAGTTGAGCTCGTAAAACTGATAGGAACAAGTGAATCTGTGTTATATCCATTCCGCTAGAAACATCGAGTGTAGTGTAAGAGCTTTATCGATAATAAATTACAGATAAATATCGATTTAATTATTATCGACTTACTTTTTGAAAACAATATTTATTACTTTATTATCATGAAAGTAACTTATTACCTACATGTAATTAAGATGTCGTAGAAGTTAAACTGATTTTTTTTATGAATTAATACATCGCCTACTGTATATAGCTACTTAAAATCGTTTCTATGTTTTCTGAGATTATCGCTTATAAAGAAGCAATCATATGAAAATTTAATAGAATTCATATAATTAATTATATTATACATTTTTATACAAAAACACTTTATAATTATTAACACACGCTCTTCGTCTAAATCCTTGTAAACCCCCTAGTTCTTAGATTCATATGTAACAAACAAATCACATCAAAGCATGGACATAAAACCGCGATTATTATATTCGTTTGATATTAATTACTCAAAAGTAAGCTTGTAAATCTCTCTTAGCGTTTATGTTGCCCTGGTAACTTTAATATAAATTACTATCATGATACTTCCTGTGTTATTCAATTTATTTATAACTTATGGTTATTTTAATAATTAAATAATTTTATACTATAGTTTTATAGCCATTGTCGTCATTTTAGTGTGTAGCAATAGCTTTATTTTCAATAATATAATAGTTTTTTTTTAATTTTTAAAGGATAAGGTAAGCATAGGTTATATTTAATGTCAATTTAAAAGAAAGAACAGTAGATTCTTTTGGTTAACTCACTTGTAACTGACCATAAATTTCGGTATCAGCCTATCAGAGCCCACTGCTGAGCAAAGACCTTTTCTCACATGGAGAAGGTTTGAGCATTAACCACCACGCTTGCTCAAGACGGGTTGGTGATTTTAAACTTATAATTGTGAAATTTTAAGTCCAGATATCCTCACGATGTTTTCTTTCACCGTCTGTCAGTGGTGTCTAAATTGACTCGGAAAAGTCTCATTGGTAGGTACTTGCCAGGATACTTGCCAGGATCGAACCCGCGCCCTAGTGCGAGAGACGGGGGCCCTTTAATCACTAGGCCACCACTGGCTTTAAATATATATAAATAATTAAACTTATTTCATGAAAATTTTATAAACGTCTATACAAAAAAAATTGCTTTATATTTGAACTAGGGGAGCGGGGGGCACGTTGTTACAATTTTTAGATAATTATTAATATCACAAAAGCTATAAAATAATGTGTACATTTGATTGCTTTAACCATTAGTGTGTCTATTCAGCTAGTAGAATAGAATTGGAAAAATATTAAAATTTACGTAATTTTTCCCAAAATAGAGAATTAATGAAATAAGTCGATTGCAACAACTTACCCCTGACTTGGGGCAAGTTGTTACATAATGTAAATGAATGTAAATAAACAAAATTAACGATAATAAATCATTTATTTTTTATTATTTCAAAACGTTATGATTAAAAAAAACTATTTTGATCAGTCTTATAACATTTATGAGCAATTATAATATCTATATCGTAATTTTCCAACTTTTTAACAGTAACAATCACATAACTTAAATCTTATATATCGTTTATTTTAGTTATTTTGGTTTATCGGTTAATACAGCGGACTTACGTTTACGACGGATGGATTATGGATGGATGGTTTTCGAGCCTCTGCCTTGGGAAAGGACCTTATCTTTGAAGGCGAAAAATTTTCAAATGTACTTTGTATACCAGATGGACCTGATATCGCTAATTCAATTTTATTTTTAAAACTTGACGAATCTGCACTCGGTAATGTTGTTAAACATTCTATATCTTGCGAACAAGCTGGATTTGGAGAAGGTGAAACAGTAATATTGTTAATAGTGTCAGGTAATAGATTGGTTGCTGTTTAGATTGCCTGTATGATTTCATTTAATTTTTTTCACTTTCCATTTATTCTAATTTTTAAGATATAATTTATTTATTCTAATTTTTAAGATTTAATAATCAATGAGATGAACGGTAATACAAGATCTGAGGCAAGTTCTTACATGTAACAACCTACCCCGAAAAACTGTAACAACCTGCCCCATGGTGTGTTTTTTAATTAAAATTAAAGCCGCCATTAATGGATATCAATAGCAGAATAAAACGCTATTACAAATTAAAACTCGATACATTATGAACGTTCGAGGCGAAAAGAATTTAGAGAATAACAAATATAGACAGCAGGAATCAACAATTTCGTAAAAGATTTTGTTACGAACTTGATGGAAATCGAGACACATGCACATAACCTAACAGTTAGCCGCTTGGCGGGTCCCTGATTGTTTTTTTGCAACGCACGATGTTATAAGAAAACAAATGAGTCCACTCACGTCTACCAAAGAGTTAAAAAACCCGGTAAAAAATGCGTGTAACTTCTTACCCCTGCAACAACGTGCCCCCCGCTCCCCTATTTATGGTAGTACCATTTATTCATATCTCTGTCAATTCTGTACACAGTTTTAATACTCAATAGTCAACAGTACTCTTTATAGTTCATCTATTAAATTTTATGAATGCCAAAGTACCGATGGTGTTCTTATATTTTATTTACATCAGTAACTATTTAAAGTAGGATATATCTAAAAAGTTTCTAATATAATTTGATTTAAAAAAAAATAATCCTGGCATAAAAGAATGTTCTGAAATTAAAAAAAATATATGTCAACGTCCTTAAATGTTTGCAATATGTCAAAGTGACAGAATAAATTGACAATTGACATATAACTTGTTTTAACAATATGTGGCTGATAAAGATTCTAATGTAAATTAAGGTAAAGTATAAAAATATACAAATTTGCACGTATGAAGGCTATATTTAAAACAACCAACCAACCACAAATATACAAATCAAAACAATCTTGTGTTGATTGAAAAATCTTATAAATCGTAACCAATGAGGAGAGCGGAGTAAGGAATTAAGGCTAGTATAAGCCAGCAATATAAACTATTTTATAACGCGATGCCTTTAGTAGTGAATGGTTCCTAATTATGTCGATACAGGCGTTAATAGGACACTTAATGGCTATTTTTATGACCGAAATCCGCCGACAAAGAGGCAGCCATTGTTTTTATTGAACTGTTTTTTAGTCTAAGTTTTTATGTCAACAAGGAAACCATATCTGTTAATAAGACTGTGCCGCGTATGAACGCTGGCTCGACTCTACTAATTGAAATTGAAGTGGAATAATATAGATAAATTAAATTGTATGTGTTTTATAAGGATCGTCGGATGAAAAGTTTTACAATCAAAATTACATTAGAACCTATTTGTATCAAAACTTCTTGAAGTGTCATAATTTTAAATATGGAACGATTTTTATTTTAAATTTAAACCCACCGGATTAAAAGTAAAATTCTCGTAAGAAATGCATGACTAAGCAATTTTTTATTTATTTTTTCACGAACAATTTCATCACTCAAAAGATGTGAACTTATAAAATTAATATATATCACATTAATATAGAGTCACCAATTAACAGTTGCGACATCACACGATGTGCCCAACATAATAATAACTGAATGGCATCGCTTCATAATTTATAGTATAGCTGGCTTTAACGTTATAATAGACTTGGAGAGAGAGCGGGTGCGAGGGGGACGGAGCGATTGGTGCGAGAGGGACGGACGACCAGAAGCGCCGCTCGACGTCAAAATACGTGCTGGGTTCGTTTTATTGCCCTGTGATGTTAGTGATGGGAAATGTCGATATCGATATTTATAATAATTAATAATCATGTATAGTCTGTTGTACATTTGATGTTACTTTTAACTGGAAGTTTTTTCATCATTCTATTAAAGGTCCAACGTGAATAAGATTAAAATTTAAGTAATATAAAAACCTAGGAATATTTTTCTTATGTTTAAAAATTTTGATTTTATATATTTAATAGCATTGTAAGTAATGAATCAATTATTCACGATTATGCACTGTAAACATGCAATATGTAACGACAATCATTAAACAACAAAATGATGAAAGAATTATCGACTTTTATATCGACTTTAGAGTGTACATACTATCGATGTATATCCCAACCCTACCCTGAGCGCGGCATCATCAAAGAAGCCCACCTCTTTGATGTGGCCGCTGGCGCGCGCTATAACGCCGTAAGCGACAAATCCATACGTCATCCTCCTGTCATTATAACGCCTCACAATCGAGCCGGGAATGTGAAATTACTTACGAGACAATATAAATTGACAAGGCGTTTTAATAGCGATTATGAGTGTCGTTTTGGTTGGAACTGATGTCAATTAGACATTACTTTTTTTTTAACTACAAACTGTACACTGATTTGTCGGATTTGGATTAAGTTTGGCTGTTTGATTGTGTGCTGAATTGAAGATTTTAATTTGACTTTTCTTTTGACGTTGACGTTTATTTTTTTTTTAAGAAAGCCATGATCCGTCAATGTTAATACTAAGTATTATACAAAAATATAGAAATATAAATTACAGGCTTGGTTTCAGATAATTTGGACAACCCCTTGAATATCCGTTAATACCGAAATTACTAATGACCGCAACTTAAGATCTGACCGTTTGATTAAAATAGATAACATTCGATCACTTCAAATGTGTTTTTAACATCGATAGGTAATTTCTTTTCAAATTAATTTTATTGTTTTTTATTAATAAAAAAAATCAATTTTCAGGATAATTCCATCAAATGAGTAATAAGTAATAACATTCCATTGCCTGTAATAATTATAGAATTAAAAAAAATAAACGTCATTTTATAATAATGGAATGTGACGCGTATATAAAAATAATACCGCCAATAAATTGTTTGAGACGTGTTTCTTAATATTAACTATATGATAAAAAAAAAAACAAAACTGTTACGACAAAAACGCGAAGGTCACATCACATTCAGCCACATGATCCATCACATTCATCAAATCATATAATTAAATAAATCCAACGGATAACCATGCATAATTAGCAACCTTTAATCTCCTAATTCACACCACAAAAGTCCATATTAATCAACAGTTTTGTAATTATGGCGTATATTTATAAAATGTTTTCGACCGTAGCGACACAGTTTTGACAGAGGTGCTAAGATAAATGACCGCTAATTGCCCAACGGCTAGCGGGCGTGTTAATACTGCAACTGTTGCCGATTTATATTAAATATAACTAAATATATCTATGTTACACTATTATTTAAAACTAATTAAGTAAAATTATTAATTACATATAAGTTCTTATTTCAAAAAATTTTCAAAGCTGTTTAACACCAACCGTTGCTTTTTTTATTTAGTATCTGTGCAGTACATTAAACGTTATCTCATCTTTGAAGTTACTTATTAAATTTTTATTCAAGAAAATAAAAATTCTATTACAACTAATAAAGGAAGCGATTATACCTACTAACATAATAACAATAACAAAAAAAAATTAACACATCTCAGCAATTTTTACGTATCATGAGAATTATGATTGCTTAAAATAAACGTTTTATAAAACACAGGTGTGAATTAATTAATGGCATATTGTTATTATAAAACACGAACGAACAGAAAGACAGACATATTAAGATATTAAGACATTTCGCAAATGCATTAGAAGCGAAGTTTTTTTTTAAATTATATCTTATTTGCTATCGTGGGAATAATATGTAGCATTTCATATCTCATGATTCAGCATTTGTATGACCAGTTTAAATTGACACTTGATTTCTAGTTTTGATTTTAATAACCAGAGCTCATTATGTCTGGTTGCATATAATGAGTAGTTAGGAGTGAGTGAACTTGTCATAGATAATTCAATTTAATGGCTGTTACCTTATAATTATCGAATTAGTGTTGATAATGTTTTTTTTTTTTAATTTTTTTTGATCGTCATACCAGCCAGTATTTTTTTTAAATTTTATATATATTAGAAGTTATATTTATAAAATATATTGTTAAAATAAGTCGTACTCTAAAAATCTCTGCGGTTTCTGATTTATAAACAATACGTCAATGACGTAAGCTTCTTTAGCGGCACAGATTTATCGCTAGTGATGTGGCTTCTAGAAATTAATATCGATATCGAGTTCTCATAGCTTTAAGTTAACTTAATTTTTTTATTTATCTATTGTATATTGCATTACACTGAACTACAGGGTAGGGGTAAAGTTAAAATGTAGTATTTATACGGTAGGTCGTATTTAAATAAGTATTGTAAGTATACTTATTTGCTTTGAGTCTATTTTTATATGAAATAATATAATCATATAAAGCATAAGCAAGATATTTAAATAGTTTTGATTCTTATAATCCTAATTGCAGCATGCATAAAAAAAATGCTTACGAAAAACAAAGACATTTATCATAAGCATAATCAATTAGTATAAAATCGTCGTTTAAATATAAAGATTAAAACATCAAATATCAAATATGTTATAGATAAAGATTAGTTACAATACTATAAAGCTATCGATACACATTTCAATCCCTATCCGCCATTCTTGTAATCTTGTATCAACCCGTTCCTACTACACACGCGCGTCTTGCATCCCTCTCGCACACACCAAGACATGCATCTCCCATCCCTCTCTATCACCAGATAAATGTTCCTGTGTGGTATGCGGCACTTTGAAGTACCACGCCCCCCGCCCCGCAGTTAATTCGTCACAGTAATGACAATAGTTTTAATTAGAATTATATTTTTTCATTAAACGACATTAATATTTTCTTTCAGTGCTGATGACGTCATCACAGATCCGTTAGACGCCGTGGGAAATGCAATTCTGATATCGGCATTATACCGAACTATTGGCGCTCGGAAATCTGACGTTTAATTATGTATTTTTTTTTTTAATTTTCATTCGATATGACATTTGCTTATGAAGGTTTTTTTGTATTCGTCTTCTTGTGACTTATAGAATGTTCCATTTTTGAATTAATTTTTTTTTTATAGCTATAGTTATAAGTGGACGAAGATATATTATGATTAACAAAAAAGGATTGATATGAAATAAATATTATACGATTTTTATATAGTTGTATGACAAATTAAATGTACATAGGTATATACAAACATAGGTAGAAAATTAAAGTATGTATAATATACTCTGTAAGTAGTTCCAATATGTTACTTTAAGTCATATTTTCGAATAAAAAAACCTCTACCAATTTGTCTATAGTACTCTATTACTCTATGTGGACCATTCATAAGCACTAGGAAATCTAATTTCCATAGGAATCCTTGAATTTCTTTGATGTTAAACCAGAAATCCTCCGAACGTACGTAATTACAGTCGGCTGCATCAAAGAGACCGCCTCTGAGATCGGTGCTTTTGTATTCAAATATATGAAACTATAAACACATGACAAAATAAACCTTATATATATAAGAATAAGGTTTATATTCGTGTATATAATTTCCAATACCTTAACACCTCGGCCAGTAAAGGGTCATATCGCTTAGGGATTTTGCCACGGATATGTCAAAAAGAGATTTTATGACGTCACTAAACGACCGCACCGGGTGAATTAGGTTAGTATGTAATTATAATTGTTTACAACTACATATACTTCTATACTAGATTGGCAGAACCTGGCTAGAGCTGGGGAATTGCCAGGAAGAAGATAACATGAACAGGGCAACTAAATGTATGTCAATTGTCAAAGTACCTAATTGTTGTTTAACCGATTGCGAATAAACGATTCATGTTTTTCATTTTGATGTTTATTATATCGAATTCTCATATCATATAATGTGTTGCAGTTAATAATCGAATTATGATTTTTTGTGGGTTATTATAAGATTTTGAGAGAAAAAAAAATATTTTTATAATTTATTATACTTTACTTAAGGATTTCTCCAATTATGCAAGTTAGTTAATTCTGTGTTTTATTTAAGATAAATAAAGTTATTAAATAATTATAATGATAATGGTTCTTTGATATTAATCCGGTTTTATTAGTAGATCTCAACGTACCTATATGTATAATATAAACCGTATATTCTGTTTTATTTATTGAAAATATTATTTCATAAATAATAAGTACGGTGTCCCATCAAAGGATAGACAAAGTTTTTGTTATGTCTTATACTTTAATAATTTTTCCCAAAACAAGATGAATATTTTGGGAATCATGACGAAAATGTTTTACTTGTTATTTATTAAAAAATAGAATAAATATATCTAAATTCTAATCCTCACATCTAAGATGTAAAGATGACGGTTAAGTCAATAAACGATTTAGAAAAAATTAAAAAATAAGTCATTTGATTTTTTTTTTATTTTGACTCCATTCGCATTTGAAATTGGAATCGTGAAATAATTTGCCAATGTCAACGTTCTCAAAACGTTGTATTCATTTGAAATGTTAAACATTAGACAGAGAATACTTAGTTATTTAATAATATATATGTATACATACTTATACAGGGTGACTGGTGAATTACTATCGATACTTTAGGACGTGATATTTGACGATCATAGGTATATGACAAAATAAAAATTAATATAACATAAATATTAATAAACTTCTAAGTAAAGTTAACCAAAAGTATGTATGTATATATTATATCGGTATGCTCAACATAAGTTTTACATCGTCACATATACGAAGCATTGCTCATCTCTCATACAATCATCATCAGTCTATCAGAGCCCACTGCTGAGCAAAGGCCTCTTCTCACATGGAGAAGGTTTGAGCATTAATCACCACGCCTGCTAAAGACGGGTTGGTGATTTCAAACTTATAATTGTGAAATTACAAGTCCAGGTTTCCTCACAATGTTTTTCTTCATCTATCAGTGGTGTCTTAATACTTTTAGAATGTACATATGACTAGAAAAATCACATTGGTACTTGCCAGGTATCGAACCCTCGCCCTCATGCATGAGAGGCGGGCTTTTAACCTCTGGGTCAATACGACTTTAATATATACAATGACCAATGTAAAAATAATATGCGAATATTATTAAAAAATAAAACTGTTCACGTTCTGTATCTAGTGTTATACATAACTTGATTTAACTATACGGAAGTATATGTTTTTTAGACAGAAAATGTATTAAAACTAACATTACTCTAATACATTTTCTTATTTTGTTCCTAGTTAACTAATTTCTTCTCTTCTATGTGAATTATCGAAAACATTACTCACCAAATTCATCTGAATTCAACTCCTTGAGAATTAATCTACAGCTTTCTTTCGTGTTTATTTAATACGTACCTATAGTACTATCTAATTTTCATCAATGGCCCCTCAGTTCCCGCCATATACTAATATTTTTTCTCTTATATCTAAAAAGCCGACGGTCTAATGTTATACAGCCAACGTCATTTGTATTTTGTAAGCACTATAATATCTAGATGTGAATGCGACCTTTTTTCCAATATTTTTAATCCCATATTAATAATAATCGGAACTCTTTGAAATTCCATTCATGAATAATCCTCCTCCTGCTCCTGCTCCTCCATTTTGTGTAGCAAGCTTCAAAATTACATTAATAGTTTATACATATCAAATTATTGCTTACTACCTAAATTAAATAAAATTTTATTGCTTTCACATTCTTATATACACTCTTAAATAATTTCCTACTTATATTAGAAAAAAACCTGCTTTTTTCTATTCAATTTAACTCTCTAACGTTAAAAAAATCTTTTTGTAAGATCGGTATCTATAAAGTTGTTGTATGAAAATGGTAAATTGTATATACTTCTTAACTGAAAATATAGTAAGAGCCGTTAAAATTTCTTTATTTTATATTTAAAAATTAGTAGTTATCTCAAATTATTAAGTACAACTCAATTTATTTATTTTATTATAGCATACACCAATCCGACAACATGCATAGAGACTAGAGTATCTAATACATTCAGCCAATGTCCTGTAGAATGGACTATTATTTTTTTATGCTATTTCTCCATACAAATCACAGTGGACGTATTATTATTATATTAATTTATTTAAAACTATAACTCAACTTTAATGTCGAAATTAATTGGCAATAATTATAATGTTATGATTCTTATGATTAACAATTTATTTATATATTAATTTTAAGTAACAGCATACAGAATATTCTAGACGTTTGTAGGACCTAATACTTTCTCAAAATTGGTTTTTATTTATTACTTACTAGCTTTCCGTCCACAGCTTCGCCCCGCGTGGAGTTCGGTTATATCGCGTTTCCAAGAGAACCTTTCAAAAGACTGAAATAAAAACTATCCTATATTCTTTCTCAAGGTCAACTCTATGTCTGTACCAAATTTCATTAAAATCATTTCAGTGGTTTAGGCGTGAAAGCGTAACAGACAGACAGACAGAGTTACTTTCGCATTTATAATATTAGTAGGGATGTAGAGATGTCATGGCGAGACAAAGATTCAAGGATAATTCTAGAAAATTTACATATAATTATTTTCAACACTTTTTAAACTAAGTAACTCAAAACTAAGTTTACATGATTACTTCGATATTAAAGTAGAAACGATATTATACTTACTACGTGTAGGTTCCCATGTATAGATAGCTTAATAAGATATAAGATTTTCGCGAGTACTCATTTAAATGAAACTAATATTTTCGGATTTACTACGCGATTTTTAATTTTTGACTAGTGAGTGGACCCAAATCTCGTCTGCCCGTGATCACGGTTGCTGTAAAGTAACCGAAAGATCGGGAATATGTAGTTTATAGTCAAAATTAAAAAATCACGTAGTAAATCCGAAAATATTAGTTTCATATAGATAGCTTTCCATTCGATATTAATTAAAAGTATTATGCTTACTTACAAACTATGATCATACATTAACATATTTTATTTAATAACAGCTCAAAAAAATATATTGTCATCCTAAATAAAACACTCATTTATAAATTAAAATATATTTTTATAACTATTATATTATATACGCGTTCTTTTATTCCTGAACGCATCTCCAATAAACTTCATGTGTGGCATCCGAAATCGTATGTAGTGATGCGAAGTTGTTTTTAAAAAGATGAATTAACACGTAATGTTGCCAGACGCACGCGAACATAATTAGCAGTTGTAGGTAATAATGTAGGATATGTCTTGTTTTATGTTATTTAATTGTACGCTTTCGATAAGACATTAATAATGAACGATAAACGATAATTTAAATATTATTTTCGTAATCGTACCATTTCGAGACGAAGATAAATAACTAAATTAACTTGTAAAGATAAAATATTGAGACATGATTAAGAAAAAAATTGCTAAGTACTTATTTTATTATATTTATATGTATTTAATAAAGAAAATTTAAATGAACTTCATCTTGATGTATATTTAGCAGAATAAAGCTATGGTATACCAAAAGCCAATCGCAATTAACGCTAGATAGAGACCAACTACCTTGCGCAGGCGCATCCTATTATTACAACAGGCCACCCACGTGTATTGCTATCTCACTCGCACCTAACGAGACCTAAAACCGAGTATGAATATATTTTTTAGTCGATTACCACCGGCTTGTAATCAAGATTTCTTTACACAAATATGGCTTTAATTTATCAGTATATAAGTATCAATATCCCATATCAGCTATATACAGTCAACAAAGATATTAAGATATTCCGAATCTAAAGTATTTATTTTAAAAATGGAAGCATTTCTAATACATGTAACGGTTTTTAATAAAATCGATTTATATTGTAACTACGTAACGATTTTATGTTACTATAGGATATTTTTGAGGTATATCTATATTTTTCTGAATATTGATGGATCAAACGTACAAAACAAGGAAAATTATTAAGAAATACAAACATTACTTTAAATAACCTAATTTTTAAGCTACTGTTTGTTGTGACAGATTTATTTTTTTAAGGTTTAATTTTAAATTTGCTTTTTGACTGTTAGGTATATATTAACAACAAATAGTTAAAATAAAAAGTAATAACAATAAAACTAGTGAAACTAAAGACCGATAAATATATAAAAGATTTTTAAAATAAATATACATTAGGTACTTACTTATTTTTTTTGTAAATGTTTTTTACGGCTCTGGATAGGAGTGCTTTTAAGCCTTTCTTAATTATTTCTCTTAATGTGTTGACAACAGTCATAGAATTAAAATTAAGGTTCTAATATTAAATAAAATTAATTAAAACTTTATGAACCATACCTAAAAACAACACATTTATTTTTCTCAACTTAACTTAATCAATATATCAATTACCTACATAATAATTAAAAACTTATTTTGCACACTCTACACGTTATAATCGAAGGGACAGTATTAAAATAGCATCAATTTGATCTTATCCGATATCGATGCGTGCGATGCGTGGACGATTAATCACTCGATGAAACTGAATCGATTATCGTTAATAATTTCAGCTACGTGATTTGTGAAGCAATTTGTGCTGGCTATTCTCATGTACAGCAAAAACTTTCATATTGTTAATATAAAGCATGTTTTATAACAAGAACTATGGTGTTATTGTCTTCATTACTATATACTTTATATATAGCTAGATAGTAAGCAATATAAACTTTTTTACTTAAATATTTATAGGTTTTTATTATCACTATAAATTGCATTTCTTCTGATGTCTTCCTGTAAGGTACAAATTAAATCTATATTAAGCATACTTTTAAATTTATTCATTGAAATATATTAATAAATAAGTTGAGGTGAGAGTTTTAAAAGTTTTTTAATCATCTGTCGAAAAAAACGACCTGTCATAATTCGAAATTGACGTCTGTCAAAATGTTTGTATGGCGTTACGACTTACGGGTTCTTTTTGTACATTTTATTGACCTCTAGCCGCGTTAGATATAAAGTTCGCACACTCAGCCCATCAGCGGATCCATTTGGTTGCATTGGGCCATTTAGAGATCATGTAATGGCAGTTTTGTGTGGAAAACGAGCGATCAATCATGCAGTCATGTGTTGAGTTTTATGTTGGCACAATTGCGCAGTTTTATGTTGGCAGAACCGTGTTTTGAATTACGGTGTAAGTAAATTATATGCCTTTATGTTTAGTTTTATGACTTTGAAAGTATAATATATTATATATGTATAAGATATGTTTCGTTGGTACCACTTACAGTAAATTTAATGTACATAAGATTTGTCTAACATAAAATGAATTTTAAACTGTTGTTAAGTTATTTATCATTTATTTACATTTATATATTTTGATAACGGCAAGGACAACAAGATATGAGTCGGGAAATGACCTAGCCAGCATGTAATTAAATTTTACAGATCAGTTGTACAAGTTTTTGTCGACTCACATTATTTAAAGCTAACCACGCCCATGGAATAAATTTTAAATTTCTTCTTTACTTCAACCAATTTTTAATTCTTTAAAGTAAAAAAATATATTTCCAGTTAGAATGATTAATAATTTTCATGCGTGTTTTTTAAGGGTTTTTCGTATATACTCACTGATCCAGGACAAATATTATTTTAAATAGAAAATGAAAAGTCCAAAACTTAATGCCAAAAAATAAAATTATTACCACGAGTGTAACTTATATTATTTCCTTTTAGGATTCAACAAATATATTTATCGTAAAATAATAATTTTTTCAAAATAATAAAATTTTTAAATTGTTCGATTCTCAATTTTAACATTAACAAAAAAAAAATAACTGAAAATTTGTAAACACAACTTTACAAAGACGTCATCAGATTGTCATCCCAAAGTCGGTTAAAACCAAATAAAATTTATTTGTTTCATAAACATTGAAGCCACAGATTAAACAAACAATCAAAAACACGAAATCAAAACTTAGTATACGGTTTAACAACAAAAAGCACTTCAAAGTAAACAAACAAATTTAAATTCCTACCGCGTTACAATGTTATGTTATCTGTGGTGGATAGAGACGGATATATTCGTTTTCCCGCTCTCGGGCGGAGTTATACGCGGGATGGCCCACGTATTTAGACTGTATGTGAGGTCCAAAATGTAATTTATGAACGGGCCCCACAAATACAAGCTTACGAAATATATGAAACGAACGCTGCAAATATTCTAATTATTATCGATTTTCTATCATATTCCGTGTGTTTAATAAGATGTTATGTAATATAAATCGTATTATTAGTGTTTATTTTTTTATAGCTTCGTGATTTCTAATGTTTGTGAAAGCTAATGTAATTGACAGTCAGAGTTCATGGTTCGTATTATTATTTTTACGCTTGTTTACATATTCAATTCATTTAATGGTAACATTTTTGTGGAGTCCCAAAGAAAATTATGACGCATTCATAATATTCTACTAAGTATTAAAAATGCGAATGTATGTCAAAGTATTGTTGATAGTTACTATTTCACGAAAGACTATTAAACATATTTTGATGAAACTTACCGCCTACCGGTGTTAAAAACAACATATTTGTTATTAGTTTTTTAAGGAACATGACATTAATATCGGATTTTACATGAAATAACTTTTCACAGAATCAATATGGATCTTCCATTTAGTTGTATTTATTTTATTTCTAATATATATTTATAATAATTTATTAAAGAAACCAATCAGTCTTAAATCCTAGCCGACGAAGACGGGGTATAATCTTGTAGGTACGTAAATTTTAAACGTGTCGTAATTACACCCACTCGATAATCCATTTAACGTAAGATCTTTCTGCTAACGAGTGGAAATTCTTAAAAAGATTGCACCGCCGCTAATATATTAAAAGCTTTTTCATGTATTATAGTTTAAAGATTTTATTTTGAAACTAGTTTTTATCAATGATTTTCCCGTATTCGTGTATTACAAGGAAAATTCAATAAGAATAACGGGAATGTACTAAAAATTTACAGCCATCTAACTTAAAAATAATTTAGTAATCCAAAATTTTTTTTAAATAATTTTCCAGAAATATATTATTAGATATAAAAAAATATTATTATTATATCAACTATAAAATTATATGATTGATTTATTCGATAAGACAAAAATAAAAAAATATTTTAAATAGGTATGGCGCCGGATACTACTTATGTCTCATTAACTTTCAAAAATATTATATATCCATGTAACAATAGGTACGTATTTTATCAAATTATTGTTGCTTTAAGTTTTACTAAAGAATGAATCAAAGATTTCAACTTAAGTGCCGAACTCGAATCATTTTGAAATTAAGTTTTCGGTTCAATTGGTATTTCATTAATTTAATTTCTAAATTATCACTAGAAGGCAAAATTGAATATCTTTTTATTTTACATGACAATTTATAAGAGTTAAGATTAATAGGGATATTATTCAAAAGTCGGTCCAACAAACTTTGAATTTGTCACTGATTATTATGACAACGGACTTGACACTTGTCAACATTTAAAGCCATAAGAAAGTTACAGATGTTTACACTTTGTATTCTTACAAAAATGTGATCGTTTTGTTAATGATGTTATCTGCACAATTAGGTGACTCTCCAGACATAAATTAAATAAATTAATTTAACATTTTGAAATAACAGTTTATATAATTTGAGTATGAAATGAGACAATTATTTAAGTAATTTCCCGTTTCCGATAAATATATCTACATCGGACAAGAGACGACATCTATCGATAGAAAGCTGAAATGTATTATTTTGCTATTATTCACTAGATGGCACTGTACAGTCAGATGAAAGAAGTTTATTTTTAGCTTATTCACTTTCTGTTTATACAAAACTACACTTATAAATTTGTCGGATATATAAAAAATATAATTTTTATATAATATAAAAACATAACATGAAAAAGTAAAGTATGAAAAATCTTTTAGAATAAAACGAACGACGCCGTAATAAAGAAGTGTACCAATGCCAATGTCAGCTGTCAAATTACCTTCGCAATGTATGGTTAACTGTATTATATATAGCTACTCGTATTATTTACAAACGATATTAAGTTTTCAAATATAACGATATTAAGATTTAGGAGATAAAAAGTTATTAAGTTTACTTTAAAACATGAACAATCAATTAATAGAAAAAATTATAAAAAGTAATGGACAGACATGTCCTCAATTTATTTATACAAATGCAGCGCTAGATGTAAATGTAACACGAGAAATATCGAAAGGCTTAGTGAAGTTGATTGAAAACACAAGAGAAAATGAAAATCCCGTATCACGTAGGTCTATATTGGAAAATATTAGGAATATGTGTAAGAATCAACCGTCAGGACACGCAGATATTGACGAAAACATTACTGGTTTACTTATAGACGTCTTCCAAAGCCGTATTCCTAGTTCGGATGATGATATTGATAAACAATTAGAGGCATTTCTTATCAGAACATCAAAAGAAGTCAGCCTTAATGCATATCCCGAAACAACAAATAATCCGGAAGTTTTGAAAGCTTTGATAAATTTGAACCATGGAAAAGACTTATCGGGTGCTATTTCTAAGAATATTATATACTGGAATACCGAAGATATAAAATTTCAAGGTATTTTAAAAGATGTCTGGGACAAATTTAAGAATGGATATGAAATGGATATTCCTGAAGATTTATCAATAAAAGCACGATCTGAAATCGAGAGATTACTACTTGAAAATACACTTGCTTTACTTGAAGAAACTATATCTACCACAGACGACTTCACACCAAATAATGATATATTATCATTAATTAAATTCTGCAGTAACTCACCAAACTGTTTTCAAATATGTACAAGTATATTGAATTCATTATTCATCTTGTCGCATTTCAATCAGAAATTACTTCAATTTATCCAAACATTTGTGTACAGTGTGAAAAATAAGTTCAAAGGATTATCATTTTCAGTTTTATACCCGACAAACCTTACTTATGTAGCAACGCTCTTAGATTTTGATTTTGATGAAATACAACAAGAGGATGTTAAAAATAAATATTTAATGACAACAATTAATTATTTAAATTCAGTTAAAGAACAGTCTGAAAATGATCTTATAATGTTACTATCACATTTTCCAAAATGGTTTGAGGTTTATAGTAACATATAATAAGGAATGACAATAAAAATATTAAGATTAATAAATTTTTGTTTATTGAAATAATTAAAAGTTTGACTTCTCAGAATTTCTGTGTTTCATCAATTAAACAAACATAAAAGCTTATAAGGTTTTTTTATTGACAAACATGTGAAGAATACTTTAGTATTGTTAATACATCATTCCTCTCTATTTTCTTATGTTGCCTTAAGTAAGAATAGTACTTTGTTTTAGTTTGTGTATTATCATAACATAGTTTTAGTAATTGGATGTTTTACTAACCTATTGCATCTGTTTTGTATTCGTAAATTTTTATATTTACAGTTATTATATCTATAAATTTTTATATCAACAGAATATTCATTTACAATTATCCTCTTCAATCAACCTGCAAACTCAAAATATATGACATAAGTTTCATGGTGATAAGGATTCTTTAACTTTTTAGTTGGATCTAAAAAACTATCATGAGTCCTATCCTCTCCGTCAATTCAGTCATTGTATACCCATCCTTCTCTTCTAAACGGTTCTCTTTCTAACACTGACATAGATAAGGGCCGTACATTGCACATGTCTCAAGGGATATTCTATACCCTGCTTTTCCCATCTAAATCAAACAAATTACCTTGGTAAATTTTTATATAATCACAATCAATGATATTGTGAAAGATGGTCTTAAAAATGTAGATCGCAACAGAATTTCTGTTCAATTTTCATCTGCTCAAGCAGCTAACACTTTCTTACCAATAAAATATTACATTTACGGAAATATAAGGCATCTTCTTTTAGAAGATATATCAAGATCATAAGACAATATATTCCAACATATGTCGGATGAATGGGTTTAGTTAGAGGTGGCCACGCAAATATGTTAATGTTGGTTCCCCAGGTTCAATTCTTAGTCCGTCAATAGTTTTTATAATGTCCAATACGTTAATGATATTGTTATCTACTACAGCCCTCCCTTCTGTCGAGGATATTTCTCACAGAATCTCTACAGCTCTTCACTATCTAAACCAATGGCTCTCCAATCATTGCTTATCTTTTCCGGTTTCCAAAGTTTTAGCTGTTGTCTTCATTAAAAAACGTTCCATTTCTTCTATATAGTTACCTTGAGAAGATCAACACATTAGGTTTACCGCTCAGGCAAAATTTTTGGGCCTAGTTCTTAATCAAAAATTAGCTAGTGTTCCGTATATTGAGTACGTTGTAAAAAATGTGAAAAAGGGTCACATGTTTTTCACTTGTCCACTCATTCACTCTGCCTTTCCGTTTGGGTCATGCGTGTTCTGCTACACATTTGCGCAAGATTATGGATCACTCTATTTGTGAATGTGGTTTTGACGAAGTTTCCGTTCCCCATCTCCTCCTCAGCTATCCTAAACTCTTGCATCCCCTATATGATTTCCTCCCCATCAATATTCCCCGTCCTTTAAATACCGAATTTTTGCTGTCGTTGGTGTTTAGTAAAATTATATGTAAATATATTAAAATAAATAGAAAAAAGTTGTTATAAATTGTTTTACATTTATATAACATTAGTTTTAGTTTTTACATTTTTCATACAGTATATATCTCCTATTTTAGTTTTTGGAGGGAATCTGTTATTGTTTCTTTTTTTAGACTCGTCACTTAGGCGGAAAATATCAAAAATTAATGAACATTATTGTATGCACATATAAAGAGTGACGTTGCTGTCTCAAAGAACGAACATTAAGCCGTGTGAACCAGAAGATTCCTGATACCACACAAGCTATGAAATGGGATTACTAAGCTAACATCATAGCAATAATGTAGTCTTAGGTGTAGGTTATAAGTTTTAATATATACGTATAAGTTAATTATAAGTAAGTTTCGTACTTTTCCTTTAACCTCTGGTTGCCACCATATATAGTTATTTACTCATTGCTAATTTCATTTCTTAAACAACTTATTTAATTAATTTACCAGATTTTATGTAACAATAATGTTCCAAAAATTAAAAATATGCATTCTTGTGGCGTTTGTCAATGTAAATAATTTGTTAATAAAGTAAATATATTAATTGAATGAATAATAAGTATGAACATAATAAGTATGAATAAATAAAACTTGCATTTTTTTCTTCAAAGTTTTTGATATTGAAAAAATAGTTTTGTATAGCTTTATTAAATTAAATATCACAAATACGTTTTTTAAGTATGTAATGACGCTTCTTGATGTAATTGCTTCAATTATTAATTTTTTTCAAGATAGCATAATATTTTAAATTCATTTTGTAAAATTTTGGTCCCTGATTAACAGAATATTAGTCAAATTAGAAAGTAATATATCTAAAATTTTTGCGAGACACTTTAAACTAAAATATATACTACGTTATTACATTATTCTCGACGTTTCAGTTATTTTATAGCCACCGTGATCTCTGGTAGACTAAATCAAATTCGAATATTATTTCTATTCAAACATAATCTAAATCAAAGAACTACAATCTTATTAAAATAATACAAATAAATACTAATAATTCCAGTATTTTTTCTTTTGGTTTACCAAATTCTTGATCTAAAATGTCATAGACAATATTAGACACTGATTCATTTATCATCTGTACTTAATTCATAGACAATAGTTATTGTTGAATGTTGTGCGTATTGATACTTTTAACTTTTCAATTAGCGTTGTGCGTTTAGACACATTTCAAAGAAAGTTTCTATAATATTAAGTAATTTTATAATGACAAATTTTATTTTAGATTATTAATGTGAGTTGTAATGCGTTTGAATTGTTTCTAACAGTATAATATGTTATAAAATAACTCATGTATGTCTATGAAGGTTCGTTGAATTGTAACAAATCATGAGTAAAAGGCGCCGTGCATCATCATGCGCGAGTCGAGGACCCGACGGCGATGATAGTGATGATGGAGTTGAGCTGAGTAACCCTGGACCTCCGCCTTCCAGGAAAAAGAAAAAGATGGAACCGGTAATTTCGAAGCATCGTTTATTTAACTGGGTCAATGCACTTTAGCGTTATTTTGAGGACATTAGTGCCGGCTTCTTAAAACGTAAACAACTGACAGAGATGTATCAGAACATTTTTATTTGCTGTAATATTTGATTTTTGGATGTTTCTTTGAATTTAATGATTATTACAGAGTGAAATTTGCCAACAATTGTACGATATTATTCGGTCATATAAAAAGGAAGACGGGACTCTTTTGTGTGATTCTTTCATAAGAGCTCCCAAAAGGCGGCAAGAACCTCAGTATTATGAAGTAGTATCCCAACCAATCGATTTATTAAGGGTAAGATATTGTCCAATTTCAATTTTATCATTTAAAGCATACATAATAGTAGTTACTATAATATTGGTAATATATTAAAGGTGCAACAAAAGTTAAAAACAGATACCTATGAAGATATAGAAGAATTGTCTGCTGATATTGAACTCTTAGTTAACAATGCTAAAGCTTTCTACAAACCTGATTCGGAGGAATATAAAGATGCTACGGATCTATGGAAGCTTTATAATAAGCATAGACAGACATTAGAAAATGGTAAGTTATTGGTAACTGATTGTTTTTTATATCAATGACTAATTTTTACATTTTTGTTCTACAAATACTAAATAATATATTGATGGGATCAATGAGATGCATTATTTACCTTGCATGATTACCAGTCCAAGCTACACTGGCCATGTCGATAATCTGACTGATCACTTGATTAAACCATATTTATCATATAAGCATTATTTGGTGCATTTACAGACAAGTTTAAATAATAATATATGTATATCTAACTACTTAAAAATTACTATTATCCTATGTAATTACATTAATACTATTAAGAAAGCTTGCCATATGAAATGTTTAATTGATCTATCATATAACCATCAAGAGCTGAAGTAAATAACATATTTAAACATAATATGTATCTTATAACTAGTATAGTACTATGATCCTATGTAATAAAGCTATCCTTATAAAATTTTATACTGGTACTAAATATAAAATTAATAATAATTATTTCTTAATGTTTGTTTGTTTAAAGGTGATGACATGAAAACCCCAAAACTATCAAGAAATGGTTCATCGAGCAGAAGATCCGATGTGGCCGAGGATACATCAGAAACATCAACAAACAACGAGGAAGACAATGTGTTTGAGGAACTTTTCAATGCTGTAAGTAATAGGTTAACAAGAAAATATTGAGAAATATTTACATTGAACTCTATTTACTTGTAGGTTTGAGTAAGTAGAGAATTTAAAGTTATGTATTGTCATCTAAAAATGTAAAATATTTAATTAAATTTTTTATTTACAAAAAATTTTGAGCTTATAATATCTTTAGTTTGTATTGGTCAAGGATATAGAAAATAATATGAAAAAACAAGTTATATTTAAAGTTTTAATTGAATTTTTTGGTAACATTAATGGGAGACGGTAATAGATGACCTTATTTTTTCTTATTCACAATAACAATACAACTTATCCAATATAATCCTTTAAAAATTCTAAATTTTAATAAATCTTTGATATCTACATTCCAAAAGTTGATAATCAATTATATTTTTCTTCAGGTCATGACAGCAAATATCGGAGGACGACCTCTCTATCCGCCATTTCAATTTCTGCCATCGGAACGGAGATATCCAGAATATTACAGTGTGATAGACAACCCTATCGACTTGAAAACCATAGCACAGAAGATTCAGGCTAGCGAATACAACACTCTTAATGATTTGGAGAAGGATTTGTTATTAATGGTGTGGAATGCCTGTCTATTTAATGAACCTGGGTCACAGTTGTATAAAGATGCCAGGGCATTGAAAAAGGTAACTTAAAACCTCCTTTTTAAGTTCAGTTCTATTTTTCTACAAATAATATTTATTTGATCTATTGTATAACAAACTACATGTTTTATATATAATTATCTCATTATAATGTACATGGAATTGCTATATAATAAATATATAAAATATATAGCCTTTGAAATGCAGATACGGTAGAAACTCGATTCAGCGAACTTATCATTGTCGATAGGCATTCGGATAATCGAAAATCCGGATAATCGAATGTATGAAGAAATGCGGGTTTTATATGTATGTAGTACATATTATTATATGTTTATTTAAAAAAAGTAACAAATGTAAAAAGTAACAACGATTATCAATGTTTATTAATAAATAATTAAAGGATACAATTTCTTAGATTACATTTACATATACATATACTTACTTGTATGTACTGAAAACTGCAGATTTAATCATGAAATAAATTACAATATGTATTTAGTAATTTGCAATTGGTAACCATGAATTAAAATAATAAGTTCAATTTGCTTTAAATATTTGGTAATTGTCATTTGACGTACGCCACTCTCAACAACACCACTCTCTTACGCTTAGACATTGTTTCTTGTCGGGACTTGTTCGTAGTCCGGATGTAATCACGAATCCGTATAACTGAGGGCCGGATAATCGAGTTTCTACTGTACTACATAAATTTATAATAATCAAACACTACTTCTATTCAACTGATTTAACAAATAAATACATATCTAAATATCCATTACCTCCTCATTCCGAGTAGTCATTAACTATTATGTTAACAGGTTATACAAGCTCGCAAACAAGAGATAGATCAGCACGGTCGTAGTGGTCCAGCCAAGACGTCTGAACGTATCCGCAGCAAGCGTACTTCACGCGTAGGGCCAGTGCCCTCCAGTAGGGCTCTGGCCGTCATGGAAGCCCCCGGGTCTGATACTGAACCAGATGTTAAGGTAAATTTACATAAATTATAATAGTTTTTTTCTTATGTGAATGGTTAGTAGTCACCGTCTCCCATAGACTTCCAGACAACATAAGAGACTTTGGGGTTACATAGACAACCTTATTTGTTGAGGAAAAGGGTGGGAAAAAGGAAAGGGCAACTGACTTCCTCACTGTCATGAATCTCAAAAATTAACGACTACATCACGTCAATCTTCTGTAGAGGATGGTACTTCCACGGTTCAAACATGAGCCAGAACATGTTTGAACTGTATTAACTTGACCAAACCTAGGCTCTACCACCTCTAATTTTTAAATATCGTATTTAAATCAAACAAGTGTCAATGAATTCCTCATTTTATAAATTCTATTTGAATTTTATTTGACTAACTATAAGCTTCACATTGTTTCAATGTTATAACAATTCTGATCGAGAGATGATTTATGCTCAAAGTGTGAGATATTTATTGTGTAATATGTTATAGACCAAGTGATAATTTGTTCATTTATCATAATGACTAGGAGGTATGAAAAATTACCTTAATTTTGAGAATAATCAGTTAAATAATCAAATTGACTGGCTGTTATACATAATATCCATCACCTTTAAAACAAACATGTAATGGCAATTGTTTTTATTATTGCATTTATTATGATAGGTTTGGAAACTTAGAAAGCCCAATAGAGATAGACATGATTAATAATGCCCAGGCATTGTTGATAATGCCCTAATTTATATTTGGTCGATAACATACATATATATACAGAAACTGGTATATTAAAGAATTTAAAAATAATTTTATTTCAGCATTCAGAAGACAGTGCTGGTGATAGTGATGAAGATAAAGGTGATAATGAAGATTCACCTCAATGGAAGCTTTTGGAAACTGTGAGGAATCACTTGGGACCAAACGGTAGGAATTTTGTTAATATTATATCAAGTTTAACTCAAAATAAGTGCTTTAATGAAGCAAATAATAGTTCTGACTTAAATTAACAGTACATATACCACAAGTTTCTGTCATGAAACTAAACAGAGTTACATGTTTTTTAATGAGCCACTTATTTGGGTAAAATTATTTGGTAGAGTTTGATGACAAAAACTTGGAAACTTCGTAAATAATTGACAATGCAAATTTGTGTTAAGAATAAAGATTAGTGGATTTGTACCTACACTTCTAGTCTTAGTTTTTAACTTTGAGAGAAGCTTGGATGGTTGAGGTGAGCCTTTAAATCGCGTTAGATAACCTCTTAAACCTACACCTGGGTCGCAAGTCTTAGGCACTATTGAATCTCCTCTCCCTGTAACGCGTGAATCTATTGAATGATGAGAGGTTTCGTTTCTAATATATAATACTAGTAAACCTGGCGAACTCCGTTTCGCCACCAGAAGGCTTTTATATAACATTTCGTTTGGTGATTAAAAGATGTTTTTTTTTTTTTGTTTTATATTTGAAAAGGAATATTTTTATTTCATTTCATAACTGTAATGAATTCATTTCGATTACAAAAATGAAGTGTTATTTAGTTGAACTTCTCTAAGTACATGAAAGTGAATCCATAGTAGATACCGAATAGAAGCGTTATACGTGTCCGCAAATTATCCGTTTCATTGAAGTGGTCCTTTGTAAACCACATTTTTTGTTTTTTGGTCTAACTTTAATACAAATAAAGCGGATAGTTTCCAAATTCGTCAACACGCAAAATATAACGCCCATATGAAAAACAATGTTTTCTAAATTTATCCCGCAAATACTAAATGGTTTTAAGAGTTCAAACTACAAACATAATACCGGTTTGTCACATGAAATTAACTGAGCAGAGAACAATGAGTAGCTGGTCAACCAATGTATCATGCACCGGCACCATTTACTTAAAATATTGATTTGTAGTACAGTAGGACCCCGATTATCCGGACCTCGGTTATCCGAATTCGCGATTTTCCGGACTGCCAATCGCGACGAGTTTATTCTAACACTAGCTTTTGCCGCGACTTCGTTCGCGTGGAATAGTGACTTCCGGCAGATTTTTGGTTCTTCTTCCCACATAGTTCCCGTTCTCGCGGGGTTTTCGAAATGGTCGAGTTTCCGTAGAATTTTCAGGATAAAAGCTATTTTTTTTTTTATTTACAATGAAGTACTCTTAACCAACAACATATTTATTTGTTTATTTGAATAAAGATTAATATTGATACAACTTAAAGAAATTATTTCGACCAAATTACCATAAAAACGGTTACCATAAAAACGGTTTTTGTCAGTTAATCTTAAAAGATAGACATATACTGTCGCGGACTGTTTTTTAGATCATTAAAAGAGCTATTATTCTTTAACACATATTTTTTGTGTATCTTGAACCGTTTTCGCGGCGCATGCAACGGAAGGCTTCAAAGATGAAATAATTTCTTCCGTTTTTTATACATTTACCTCTATATCTTTGCTCCTATTGGTCGTAGCGTGATGTTATATAGCCCACAACCTTCCTCGATAACTGGACTATCCGACACAAAAAGAATTATTCAATTCGAACCAGTAGATTCGGAGATTAGCGCTTTCAAACAAACAAACGAACTCTTCAGCTTTATAATATTAGTATAGATTAACATGTCAGAACTTGCATAACGCCACGCCACTCGTGCCGTTCGTGATTTTCGTTGATTTTCGCTCATATGTATTTGTTGTTTTAAATAAACACCTAACATTACTTATGTATGGTACAGACTACATACATATGTACATATGCAAAAAGCCCGTTTTTCTTCATATATTGGATGGACTTTCAATTATCCGGATGCCTACCGACAACAATTAGTCCGGATAATCGAGGTCCTACTGTACATGTTATGTATGTGAAGGCGCTGTATGTGAAAAAAGATTTTACCGCTTTTCTGTTGAATTTTTTTGTTATATACCTCACGGAACCCGAGACCTTTCCAACGAATGCAAAACCGTGGAAATTAGTTCGTTCCGGGCCGGACTTATTTTTATATAGTAGATCTCTTACAAACATCTAATTGTCATCATTACGTCATTACATATCTATCATTATACGTCAATTGCATAGCTGTCAATTGTGTTTCGTTATTCCACGTTTTATAGTGACTGACGTTTCATGTCAAGTCCCACGGGAATGCTGTCGAACGGGATAAAAAGTATCCTATTGCAATTTCCTGGCTCTAAACTACCTCCCTGCCAATTTTCAGCTAAATTGGATCAGCCATTCTTGAGTTATAAGTGCAGTCACTAACACGACTTTCTTTTATATATATAGATAGAAGATATCAACATTCTCACAACACCCTTTATATGTTATACAGGAACACCAATGGCGGATCCGTTCTGGAAGCTTCCATCGCGTCGCGAATATCAAGATTACTACAAGGAAATAAAGAATCCGGTGTCTTTGAATCAAATCAAAAATAAAATCAGACGCGGGAGTTACGGCACGTTGTCAGAAGTAGCGGGAGATATGAACATAATGTTTGAGAACGCTAAACAATATAATCTACCTACATCGAGGCTTTATAAGTACGCTGTTAAACTACAGAGGTGAGGCATATAAAAATTATGTTCTAATTAAGAGTACTATATTTAATATAGATGGTGTAAAAATAACTAGTTGCTTCTCAAATTAAGCTTGAAATATGTTGTATTTTAAAAAATATATATATGTATATGATAAATATGTTACATAATTTTGAATGTTTTCCGTTGTTTGGTACTTATATTTATGATATTTTTGTATCAAGTTTCTGTTAAGCCATTTAACATGATTATTTGTATATATATATATATTGTTTACAAGTTAATTTGTTTAATATCACCAGGTTGATGCAGCAAAGAGTTCAAGAGTTATTGGATATAGTGCAAAGTTCATCGAGTGATGATGAAAGCCTCTCTTCCGTTAAGAATCAGGCTCAAGCAAACACTCCAAGACCCAGAGGTTAAACAATTTTACTACTCTAATAAAATTCTTAGTTTAAACTTATACAGAATGATTCAAGTTTAACTTGTTGTGTACATACAGTCTAAAAAAAATGTTTTGTGGAATTATATTTTGCTATAAGTTGGATAATATATAAATATATTTAATTACTAAACCGATGTAAGCATCCGAAATTTATTTTCTAAGATTTTGTAAAAATTTTTTTAACTCAGTTATTTTCCTTGTAAATGTTTTGCTAATATGAATATGTACATATCAGAATATTTTTTTCAAAATAATGGAATATTGAAATCCAAGATGCATTAAATTTTTTTGTTTTTAATGGTTAAAAAGGGAACTTAACCTTATCAGATTATTAGTCTGGACTTTATCATTTCATATGATTTATTTATTTTACTTTGGGCAATTCATATTATTTATTTATTTCACTTTGGACAATGGAGCTACATATAAGCAACACAATAGAAACAGACAAAACAAATCCTTATTTGATTTTTTTTTCGTAATTTGCACTGCATTTGAACTGAATGTTTGCACTCGCAAATGCTCAAACAACGACATTCGTTGCATCATTACTATATATGTTTATATAACAGACTATTATTAATTACTCTTGCTGTAATAAAAATATATCCTAATGTTATGTATTATTTTCAGGTCGGCCTCGTCTTAATCCAAACCCCGTATCATCGCCGACCCCTGCGTCTCCTATAGTACCAAAAACCAATTTACCGCTCAAGAAGAAACTACATTACGTATCGAAGCAATTAGTTGAGTTCACATGCTCGGACGGCAGACAGCCAATGTTATTGTTTATGGAGAAACCCAGCAAGAAATTGTACCCTGAATACTATAATGTGATCGAGCGGCCCATTGATATGTTGACTATAGAAGCTAATATTAAGGTATAATCACTCTCCCTCTCTGTCAATATATGTGTTTAATACTTTAACATAAATAATATTAAAGTATGTTAAAGAGTACTCACATCACGAGTGGCATAGACAAGTCTTTGTCAATATCAGCTGATCACATTTGATTACAAGATTGCTAGTTGAAAGAACCTACCCATTGTTTATAGTGTAGAAGATACTTTATGTATAAATTTAATGAACATAAAAACATGAATTTTTAGTTTTAAAAATTTCTACTATTTAATGAAGCGGATATGATTACACATTATACAATGAAACTTAATGTATGGTAAATATTTATTATTATTTACAATCAGCACCAATATTGTGGTGCTAGTCCACCAAGTTACAAATTAAATAAGTGTTAATAATCTACAAATATATGTTAGCAATATCTACCATAATATATTATATGCTGATTTAATTAAATCAAGCATTATGTTTTTTCAGAACGATCGCTACAACACAATAGACGAGATGGTTTCTGATTTCCGGCTCATGTTTTCAAACTGTCGTCAATTTAACGAAGAGGGTTCCATGATTTACGAAGACGCGAACCTTCTAGAACGTGTTCTAAACGAAAAGCTGAAGGAATTGAATAGCAATTATGAAAGGAAAGTGCCTCCTAAAACGTTTAAAGCCGCCAAGTCTAAACAGTTGACACCGTTCGAACAGAAATTACGTACTTTATATGACGCTATCAGGGATTATAGAGACCCTAAAGGTATGGTATATGAAACAATATACATATATACATATATTTAAAATTCTAACAAAACCATTAAAAATATAGTTTTCTTATAAAGCCAGTACTTTATAACATATTAAAGCTTCACTTGAACAAACTAATTATTATTTTAAACCAAAACACCTCTAATAAGTAATAACTTTTCCGCGTAAAAGTGCAAAAACCAAATGTCAACGCTTTAACATCACTTCGGGAGCGTTCGGGATTTTAAAAGTTTGGCTCTAATTATATCTGTGTTCACTAATATATGTTATTAAGTTTTACCTAAATATGTACATGTTATGATCATATTATTGAAATTCCATCAATCTTAATATTTTTAAAACTACATACTCAGTTGACAGGCATTTTCATCTCTTTTGAACGTGATCATTGTTGCTGAAAAGTAACCAAAACTTCTACCTGGCAATTTCCCTGCTATAGCCAGGGTCTGCTTAAATCGAAACGTCGCGAGTATTTAGTTTTAAAAATAATAAAATCCGAAAATATTACTATCACTCCTTCAATATTTTAATTATATAATCTTTTTTATAACATTTCAGTGAACAGACAATTAGCTTTAATATTTATGAAGCTACCAAGTAAAACAGAATATCCAGATTACTATGAACTTATCAAGAATCCTATAGATATGGAAAAAATTGCTCATAAACTGAAAAATGGTCAATACACCAGTGTGAATGAACTTGCTTCAGACTTCATACTTATGTTTGATAATGCTTGTAAATACAATGAACCAGACTCACAGATATACAAAGACGCTCTCATACTACAAAGAGTGTGTTTACAGACTAAACAGTTATTAAGGTTAGTTATATTGTAAATTTACAAGAGAATTGTTCAATAAAACATATAAATAACTTTATGGTTTATTCACGTGAACAATTTTTATTTTAAAAGTTGATTTTAATTTAGTTTATAACTTTTAAGTTAAATGTTTGAATTAAAACTTCTTCGGAAATCTTTGACAGTTCGTATAGTTTATATTTTTAAAATTTTATTACGAACTTATTCAATTTTATTACAGCCACATGTTCTTAATTCTTAAAGTTTATTGTTCTATGAGTTACATCATAATTTATACAAGTGTTATTATTATCTTTAATTTCTTCTTTATTAGTTAGTTTTTCACTATATTTACTTTCAAATATGTATTATGTAAATACCTTTTGAATAAATTCCTACCTTAATTGTTATATTAGAGAAGCCCAGTGGAGTGATTATTTAGTTTTTGTTACTTGTAGTTACTTTTACATGTTACATATACATTTACTTAATGAGTATCCATTATAATAAAACAAATATTTTTCGAATTTACTATACTATATAATTATTTTCGACCTAAACATACATATACTTCATAATACATGTTCTTCTTGTTTTAGGGAGGACGAGGATGCTGTCCCGGATGTAGCTGGCGCTGTTCAAGATCTTTTATTGACTCTTTTCACTGGAGTATACAATCATCAAGATGAAGAAGGGAGGTATGTACTAGAAATGGTTAAATGATTACTTACAACTACCATTGGATAATTCCGTGTACAAAAAACCATTTATTTTGCTACACACATACATTACATAGATTATACAAAAGAAAATAATTAAATCTACATTGGAAACAGATTATCAGAAGATAGTTGAGGCTTTTACGCCATTAGTAATACATTAAACACTAAATAATTACTAATTGTGAAAAAAATTCCTTAAAAATCGTTAATATAGAAAATATTTCAGTTTAACTTAGTAGATTTTCTATCTGCAGGATTTAATTTTCTATTAAATCTATGTCATTAAATAATTTTGTATTTTTTTTGCAGATGTTATTCCGACAGCATGGCAGAGCTGCCGGAGCACGATGAAGTAGCGAATGGCGAGAAGGTCCGGGCGATATCACTAGACTTAGTGAAACGACGCCTCGATAAGGGCCTCTACAAACGACTGGATCATTTCCAACAGGATATGTTTGCTGTTTTTGAACGGTGAGACGGAAAAAGTTTATATATAAATGTTTCTTTAAAAACATTTAAACCTTTTTGTTCTGGAGCAATGTTGCGGCGAAGCACGATTCGAGAATATTTGACGATAAACGCGACCTAATAAAATGCTTAATTTTTTCTACATGCAAACATATAAATATAAGTGACGCTTTTGCTATATAGTGCTCAGTAAGTCTTGAATTGTTTGATAGCCATAACTTTCACTTGTTCTTAATTAATTTATTAAATACTAGCTTTTGCCGCGACTCCGTCCGCGTGGAATAGTGACTTCCGCCAGATTTTTGGTTCTTCCCACATAGTTCCCGTTCTTGCGGGGTTTTCGGAATGGTCGAGTTCCCGTAGAATTTTCAGTATAAAACCTATGTTTTTTTTATTCAATGAAGTACTCTTAACCAACAACATATTTATTTGTTTATTTGAATAAAGATTAATATCATTATGTTGATACAACTTAAACAAATTATTTCGACCAAATTAGGTACCATAAAAACGGTGTGTGTGAGTTAATCTTAAAAGATAGACATATACTGTCCAGGACTGTTTTTTAGATCATTAAAAGAACTATTTTTCTTTAATACATATTTTTTGTGTATCTTGACACGATTACGGCGCACGCAACGGAAGGCTTCAAAGATGAAATAATTTCTCCCGTTTTTTACACATTTACAACTATATATTTGCTCCTATTGGTCGTAGCGTGATGTTATATAGCCTACAGCCTTCCTCGATAATCGGACTATCCAACACAAAAAGAATTATTCAATTCGAACCAGTAGTTTCGGAGATTAGCGCTTTCAAACAAACAAACAAACAAACTCTTCAGCTTTATAATATTAGTATAGATTATATATAAGAAATATAAGCACGAGTTTCTAATAACTTACGTATTACCAAACAAGTTTGTCAATTTTTCATACCGCCCTCATATTTCTATATACTTACATACCCAATCTCATACTATAATAACTTTATCAATACATATTCCAGCGCCCGTCGCCTCTCGCGCACAGACAGTCAGATATTCGAGGATTCAGTGGAACTTCAGACATACTTCATCGATCAACGAGATCAGTTGTGTCGGAACACACTCACCTCGCCCGCGTTGGCGATCACAAGGGACACTATAGCTACTAGCGTGGAATTAGTGAAGCAGTGCAAGCTGTTACAGGAAAATGATGAGGAAGATGAGACGAGGTATTGTATTAGTACATATAATACTTGTAACATGAAGTATAGGCTGTCATATAATATACAGGGTGACTGGTGAATTACTATCAATATTTAAGAAGAATACTCGGTACATGATTCTCATTCGAATTATGTACAAAAAATAGGCACTTAATTTTTGACCAAAATTTCCGTAAAAATAAATAAAGTGTGTACACGTTCCAAGTGTTCCAAGTGTGGACGCGTGCGGCGGCGTGCTGATACAACACTACGCCGCCGCCGCGTCTGTGTGTGTGTGTATACCTAATCTGTAGGGTGTTCATACGATGCGTAATTAATTACATAACTTTTGGTTAACTTTACTTAGAAGTTTATTAATATTTATGTTATATTAATTTTTATTTTGTCATATATGATCGTCAAATATCACGTCCTCAAGTATCGATAGTAATTCACCAGTCACCCTGTATAAAGTATGTAAAGATAATGAGTATTCAGTGAAAATAAAATTAGAGACGAAACCTCTCAACATTCAATGTATTCACCGTGCGTGTGTCGGGTCCATCGTTGTAGTGAGAGGAGCTTCAACAGTGACTGGGACTTGGGACCCAGGTGTAGGTTTAAGGTGCCCCTTATCTAAGCGTTATACGCTCACCTCCACCGTCCAAGCCCCTCTTTCTACCTTTAGGGCTGCCTTTGAAGTAATTAGAACTAATTTAGAAGTTTTTACCGAGTTATAACTCAAGTGATTTAACATGATATAAAATTATCTAAATTATATTTGCATGTACCATAATAATCATGGTTATGATTAAATATTTAATGAACATTAGAAAATTATTACATTCAAATAGATAAAACTGTGATTTTTGATTGTACTGTGGCAATTTATTACATGACTTTATATCTTAAAATTAACAATGATGGTAGATGAGAAAAAAAGTTAACTCACAGACATCTCACCAGCCTGTATTCATAGACACAGCAAATAAAATTCAAAATAATCATGAAAATAGCGCAGTAATACAAAAGTTATGGTTTTATATATTATACAATCGTTGATACAAAAAAAAACAGTTAAATCTGCAGCTTAAAGATATCTGAAACCATTTTCTTATATATATCTTATATATGTATATATGTAATTTGTTTTTCATCAGATCTAGCACCGAGGATACAATATCCGGGACCGCGCCGCCCTCTCAGTACGGGCGAGGCGACTTCGTGTACGCGCCCGCTAAAGGAAGCAAGGAGCCTTCCATACTACAGATAGAGAAAATCGCTACAAACAGTGACAATGTACCCGTTATATACGCCAATGTATACTACAGGTATGAAAATAATCAGCTAAAGGTGTATTCATATTGCAAAAATATGTGAATTGTATCAGTCTTAGTCTAAGTTTGTGTCAATGTGGCGGTAAGTCATAATAAAATCGCTTTTGATAAATGACAGCTCTTATTAGCAATGTGTAAATTTGTGATGCTTTCAATTTTATGGAAACGAAAGAAGCTTCCAACTTATGACATTGGGTGCTGTCTATATGAATAATGTTTATTGACTAATACTTTTCACTCATTATGTAGGCCTTATTAAGAATTTTTAAAATATTAGTATACCGCCTTAACTTAAAACCAAGAATCTTTAATTAATTTGAAACCAAAGAATCTTTCGAATATGATATTAGGACTTATCTACATGAGATACCTTACACACTTTTTTACTACTAAGATAATTAGCAAATAGTAATTAATTTTTCTCGTATTCAGACCTCACGAAACGTTCCACGTGCGCACGCGCAAGTTCCTCCAACAGGAAGTGTTCAAGACGGACACACACCGCACAGTTCCATTGGACGCTATCATAGGCACCTGCTACGTCATGAACGTCAAGGAATACTTCAAGTATAGACCGGAAGGTAATAGCTTAATATATACTGGTCATCCACTCCTACATCTAGTATTACACTCATAATATTATCAGTCAGTAGTACATTTTTAGGTGATAGAGCCTAGCTGTGGTCATTTACTACAGCTCGAACATGGGCTGGCTCGACCAGGGAAGTACCACCCTCTCTCACAGAAGATCGGCGTGAAGTAGTCTTTAATGGCTGCGTTTGGTCCGATGAGTGAGAGAGCCGGTTGCCCTTTTCCTATTTCCCACCCTTCCCTACCATTTCCTTAATCCCACCCCTTCCTATTCCTAAAAAAACAAGGTTGGCAACGCATCCATAACAAACATGTTGCGGATGACCATGGGCGACGGTACTACCTTACACCATGTAGGCCGTCTGCTTGTTTGCCACCTTGGACATAAAAATATATATACAGGGTGACTGGTGAATTACTATCGATACTTGAGGAAATGATATTTGACGATCATATATGACAAAATAAAAATTAATATAACATAAATATTAATAAACTTCTAAGTAAAGTTAACCAAAAGTTATGTAGTTAATTACGCATCGTGTGAACACCCTACAGATTAGGTATACACACACACACACACACACACACACACACAAACACACGCGTGCGGCGGCGTGGTGTTGTATTTTACACTTTATTTATCTATACGGAAATTTTGTCAAAAATTAAGTACATATTTTTTTACATAATTCGAATGAGAATCATGTACCGAGTATTCTCCTTAAATATTGATAGTAATTCACCAGTCAACCTGTATATACTATACATACATGTGGGATTAGCACTGAGTTCTGATAGGCTGATGATAATGACTATACAGGGTGACTGGTGAATTACTATCAATATTTAAGGAGCATACTCGGTAAATGATTGTCATTCGAATTATGTAAAAAAAAAGGTACTTAATTTTTGACCAAATTTCCGTATAAATAAATAAAGTGTGTACACGTTCCAAGTGTTCCAAGTGTGGACGCGTGCGGCGGCGTGCTGATACAACACTACGCCGCCGCCGCGTCTGTGTGAGTGTGAGTGTATACCTAATCTGTAGGATGTTCATACGATGCGTAATTAATTACATAACTTTTGGTTAACTTTACTTAGAAGTTTATTGATATTTATATTATATTAATTTTTATTTTGTCATATATGATCGTCAAATATCACGTCCTCAAATATCGATAGTAATTCACCAGTCACCCTGTATATATACTTATTTAGTTACCACATACATATGTGCTGGCTATGGTAACATATTTAATTTTATGAAGTCGTGTTAATTATATTTTTCTATACACTATTTTTACCACCTCGTACTGAAATGGCAAGATTTCAAAACACGTATTCAATTCAAGCTATTATTACACTTGGCATACTAAATTAAAAAAAAAATCGCTATAAACAATATCTTATTTCATAAAACTTATATATTTGCTTTTATTTAAAAGGTTATCTCGACAAAGATGTTTACGTGTGCGAGAGTCGTTACAACACTAAACATCGTTGGTTCAAGAAGATCAAGGTTTGGGAGGGCGCTGAGAAAGAGGCCACTCTAGTACCAAGAGACGTGAGTTATTATACATATACCACAGATTATTGTTGTGACGTCATGAATTACACAGATAAAAAAAGTTTTATTCAGTTTAATTGCTCCCGTCATAGTTATAGTCTGTGGTGGATTTTATTATGCTTTTATTGAAAGTTTGCATTGTCATACTGACTAGGTTGCGTTTTCAGTTCTTCATTCGGTGCCTGTGAATGAAACTAGTAACGCTACGTATTTAGTGTGATGATACAGAAAAGTATTAAGGCTACTAATGTACTGATATGATAAAAAAAATAAGTTAATAATACAATAACACACCAATTTTAGATAGCAAACAATTTATAAATATTAAAAAAAATCCCCTTTATATAATCTGAATTATTTTTCGCAGTCACGAGCTCTTATTTTATCCTAAGATTTTAAATAGAAGACAATTTCTTCGCTATAAAATTGGCTTTAAATTAATTTCATACACTATAATTATTTGAATAGTTATATTGGGAAAATTATTACCAATATAACATTAATTTTACTTCATTAATATATAAGTTTTTATATTCTAGGTGCCGTTAGAACCGAACAGAACAGTTTCAGTGTTCCGTGAAAGAGTCGAGAAACATAAAGACGAGTTAGCTGAATTGGAAGTGCTCGAAAATGTACAAGAAAAAGAACGACCTGTAAGTATACACAGGTACACTTCACATGCCTGTACATAGAGATATTATACATAATATAACTAATTTAATAATAAAATAAAACCTATTTTCATTGACGTTCAAATGCAGAATTTCTGTGTGTCTATTAGTACCCGATAATGTTTAAAAGTACTTAGTATTTAATACATTCCGTATATTTTGTTTGAATCATAAAAATTCATCATCATTTACCTTTCAGAGCCCACGGTTTAGCGAAGGGCTCTTCTCACATTGAACAACCCGCATTGAGCAAGTGTGGTAATTAATGCTCAAATTTTCTTCATGTGAAAGGAAGCCTTTGATAAATCATCATCAGCCTACCAGAGCCCACTGCTGAGCGAAGACCTCTTCTCACATGGAGAAGGTTAGAGCATTAATCACCACGCTTGCTCAAGACGGGTTGGTGATTTCAAAGTTATAATTGTGAAACTATAAGTCCAGGTTTCCTCGCGATGTTTCCCTTCATTTGTCAGTGGTGTCTAAATACTCTTAGAAAGTATATATGATTTTATAAAAATTTTGATAAAAATTCTATAATACATAACGTCACCCTGTCACACAGGACGTGGTGATGTACAATCCTTTGGGCACCGACGATGAGAACACCTATTACGAGCAATACAATACGGTGTGCTCGGGGGTCATCAAGACCGGGGACTTTGTGTATGTGGTGACGGACGGGGGCAAGCAGATACTGGCGCAGGTCGATACTATATGGGAGACGGGAGAGTTAGTATGAGATATAATACTAATATTATAATTGCGAAAGTTTGTGAGTGTGTGTGTATGTTTGTAACTTCTTCACGCTCAAACGGATGAACCGATTTTGATAAAATTTTGTATACAGGAAACTGACGTCCAGGAATAAAACATAGGCTACTTTACATCCCGGAAATCCGGGTAACATCGCGGGGCGCAGCTAGTAATACATATATAATACATGACACCAAGGAAAACTTTATTTATATAGTCGATATCAACTGATTATAACAAACAATAGATTTTATGTAGACAGCTTATTTAAAAAAATATATTTATTTGTGGAATCCCGCCGCGCGGAAGAAGTGAAACTTAGTAATCTTGGTATGAAAACATGAAGGGGTAGTAATTGCATTTTTAGAGAATCCTAGTGTTTCTTTAACACAAATTTTATTAACATTACTTACTAATTGCAATTGATTTCCCCCATACTTACAAGTTCGACGCATTCGCTTATAACTTAAGTATATTAATTACAAACTAAATACTTTCAGCAACAAATGTTATTTCCGCGGACCATTCCTCATCTTCCCATCTGAAGTTTCACACATCATTAATAAGGTAAAATTTATATTATCTAAGAAATAAAATAGTTTCTATTATATATATAATAAATAATGTTTGTATGTTGTTTTCAGCCCTTCTACAAGCAAGAGGTCCTATTAACCACAATGCATGATACTAGCCCACTCGTGGGAATAGTGGGCAAGTGTGCAGTACTTGATTACGATGATTACCTTAAATGTAAGTATATATGTCTAACAATATACAGAAACTAGATATATTAGCTTCATACAGGGTGACTGGTGAATTACTATCAATATTTAAGGAGAATACTCGGTAGATGATTCTCATTCGAATTATGTAAAAAAATAGGCACTTAATTTTTGACAAAATTTCCGTATTAATAAATAAAGTGTTGACACGTTCCAAGTGTTCCAAGTGTGGACGCGTGCGGCGGCGTGCTGATACAACACCACGCCGCCGCGCGCGTATGTGTGAGTGTGTTTGTATACCTAATCTGTAGGGTGTTCACACGACGCGTAATTAATTACATAACTTTTGGTTAACTTTACTTAGAAGTTTATTAATATTTATGTTATATTAATTTTTATTTTGTCATATATGATCGTCAAATATCACGTCCTCAAGTATCGATAGTAATTCACCAGTCACCCTGTATATGTCATACTAGCTTTTGCCGCGACTCCGTCCGCGTGGAGTAGTGACTTCCGGCAGATTTTTGGTTCTTCCCACATAGTTCCCGTTCCTGCGGGGTTTTCGGAATTGTCGAGTTCCCGTAGAGTTTTCAGGATAAAACCTATGTTTTTTTTAAAATTCACAATGAAGTACTCTTAACCAACAACATATTTATTTGTTTATTTGAATAAAGATTTTATAAAATTACTAGAAGACCCGGCGAACTTCGTTTCGCCCTATAATCAAGAAATATCTGTTACGTTTTTTTATTTATATTTTTGGAGTTTACCTATTAAAGCCATAAATCTCCGTGTTTTGAAGTGATTAGGAATGATTAATAGTTAATATGAGAGTTACACTGAGCTAGCAAAATAATAATTGTCAACGTTACTACTACACTTGATGCACAAACAATAACGATGGCCGACAACTGTGTAGGGAGTGAGAGAAGTCTAATTGTGTGAGAGAAACAGAAGACCGGCTTCGTTCTCATCCCTACTCCGTGCTGTTTACTGGGTCAGAAGTGACACCTGTAGATATCTGGCGGGGATAACTTATTAAATGACGATTGATCAGTTATCGACCGGAGATGAAAAATGATTAAATTACTAAAATAGCTATTAAAAAATAAGGGTTGATCGTAGAAGGGTGAAAATTTAGGATTGTATGTATTTTTGTACGTTGTATCATAAAAAAATAGTAATTAAAAATTTTGTCTAAAAAATAAAAAAAAAAAAATTAGGGGTGGACTACCCCTTACCATTAGGGGGATGAAAAATAGATGTTGGCCGATTCTCATAGCTACCGAATAAGCACAAAAAATTTCATCAAAATCGGTCAGGTTGTTTCGGAGGAGTATGGGCACGAAAACTGTGACACGAGAATTTTATATATTAGATTTCGACCAAATTAGGTACCATAAAAACGGTTTTTGTGAGTTAATCTTAAAAGATAGACATATACTGTCGCGGACTGTTTTTTAGATCATTAAAAGGGCTATTATTCTTTAATACATATTTTTTGTGTATCTTGAACCGTTTTCACGGCGCACACAACGGAAGGCTTCAAAGATGAAATAATTTCTCCCGTTTTTTACACATTTACCACTATATCTTTGCTCCTATTGGTCATAGTGTGATGTTATATAGCCCACAGCCTTCCTCGATAACTGGACTATCCAACACAAAAAGAATTATTCAATTCGAACCAGTAGTTTCGGAGATTAGCGCTTTCAAACAAACAAACAAACAAACTCTTCAGCTTTATAATATTAGTATAGATAATATGAAAAATATTGTCATATTAGTTAAAAAATTGCCACTTCAAGTACAACAAATATCATTCAGTTACAGAAATGACTAATACAAATATATTAATGTTATAAAAGTACCAAATATCTAGTCAAACATAAAAAAGCTTTTTTATCTTTGATAATAATGTTTTTATCTTCATCGAATACAGCATATTAGAACAATCAAACTATTACTTTCTATTTATAGAGTTTGAATATAATTAAAACAATTAATTGTATCATTATTATTCAGGTCGACCTACGGAAATAGCGGAAGCGGATGTGTACGTGTGTGAGTCGTTATATGATGAGTCAAATAGACTCGCGAGGAAACTGAAATCGGGGTTGAGGAAGTTTGAACACACCAAAGACGTTACTGTTGATGAGGTTATTAAGATACTATACTAATAAGAATTAATAGGATTTGAAATATAATTTAAGTAGCTGAATATATGTTTAGTATATATGTAATACGGTAAGGAAATCTCTTGAATATCTTAAAATTAAATTAATGTAACGATCATTAACTAATTAATATTACAAAACTCTAGAAGTCATTTAATAATTTAGTTGTGAAGTTAAGAGATGAGTTGGAAATTTAGTAGCAAAGCTTTTTTGATATACCTGTTCGTATATCTCAATTTACATAAGTACTTTTATTATTTTTTATACCACTTATTTGAAAAACGGCCCTGATAAAAGCGTGACATTTATTTGTTGTATATATGTTTAAATGAAACTAATATTTTTCGGATATTCTACGCGACTTTATTTTGTCGCATCTCGTCTGCTCGTGATCACGGTTGCTGAAAAGTAGCCGTAACGTTTGGAATATACAGTAGTTTGTATCAGAAATAAAATTGCCGGTTATATCCGAAAAATATTAGTTTCATATAAATGAATACTCGCGAAAATCTTAGATCTCATTATATGTATATGTTCCAGGTTTATTACTTCCCCAAACCGCTGGGCCCGCCGCCCCTCGCGTCTTCTCATGAGGTAAACACGTCCTTCACACAGAAGACATTCAACCCGAATGTTAATGCTGACTCCTTGGTAAATATATTTACTACTCCTGGTATCAAAAACTATAACAAAATAATCAATACAGAATATTGCAATTAAGAAAACATAAATCTTTTGGCTTTCAAACAATTTTACGTTATGAATGATTCAAGACTATAAACTGACAATTATATAAAAGCATCAATATTAACGCAATCTATACTTAGAACCTTCACATACTCTTATATTTTCATTAATTTTAATATCTTTAATAGCTTCGGATTTAACTAAATATTCATGGTAAAAATCATACAATTCTCTTAAATACATATATGTTTTACTTTTGTGTCAAATTATTTTACTTTATTCTTAATCATTTTAGAAATATGTGTAGAGTGGAATGATTAATATCAGTTTAGTTTAAATTATACATATATATAATATATTAATAATGTTAACAGGATGGCAAGCCACAGTTCACCAACTTACTGAACACAACACTCGGCAGTCAGGATGTTGAATTGTTGTTGGAGAACTCATTGGATGACTCCTCACTAGCATCACCTGCTACACCACTGTCTATAGGTATTAAAATTAATTTAACTAGTAATTATAAATATATGGATATTACTACTTTATTATATAACAAATAAAGTCGACTCCCGGTAATCCGGCCCCTGTCTAATCCGGCACCTGTAATCAAACATGATCTATTATTTATTATTGAATACATATTTTGTATTCGCTAATGCATGATTGAATAAGTTACAACTTGTACGCACCATCACTATTGTGCTCGACGCGTGGGATATTGTTTTGATTCTGATTGCTTAGTTGGAATTTGAATTTGTACTTCAGAGTACATATAAGTACATATGTATATAATCTTATCATTGAATCTGTAATTTGTCGGATTATAAAGTACTCTTTTGTAAAAAAATCCGGACTATAGCGGGTCTTAGGCAGTACTCTATAATCCGACAAATTCGATAGTTCGACACTGCCCTGCAAAATGTTTGTCGGACTACCAGGGGTCCACTGTATATTGTATATTAGGTACAGAATTATAAAGATGAGTTATAGAGAATTAATTAGATTTAATCTGACAGTAATTAGTAAAAAATATACGAAAAACGATAAATAAAGTAAAACAAAATGTGAGAAATACTTTTATAATGAAAATATAATGATATAATTTTCTCTCATGTTAACTAGTGATTTATTTGTTAATATATTCCAGGTGGTAACAGTAATCCATATAATCCATCGATGACTTCAAACCAAGAACGTTCAAGCACAACAACAGCCACACCGGCTAGCAGCAAGAAGAAGAAAGAACAGAAACAGAAGATAGTCACCGGATACATACTGTACTCGAGTGAAGTTAGGAAAGCAATAGTAGCTAATAATCCTGAATCTACCTTCGGTTAGTATAATAGTTATATGTATAATTATTACTTACATAGCGTATGAGAAATTAAGATGTATAAGGTATTAAGTTAAAGGGCTCATCTCTACTATCACAAGATACTTCCTTAATGACGTCTAAGATTTTCGCAAGTTTTCATTGAAATGAAACTAATATTTTATGGATTTAGTACGCGATTTTTATTTTTGATTATAAACTTGTCTCGTCTGCCCGTGATCATCGAGTATGTAGTTTATAATCAAAAATAAAAATCGCGTAGTACATCCGAAAATATTAGTTTCTATCTTCACCTACGAAGATAAAATATTTTCGTTGCGAATAATTTCTCTGTATACTTCCTTTCTTGTGCGGCCTTCAACACTTTTTTGTTCGTTATTATTATTAACGATCATTCCTTTTTCAGTCACAAAGTTCACAAATGTTTGTCTAATACCAAACACATAGTGGATTCTTATGATTAGACTTAGCTACATACTTACTTCATATAAAGCATTGTAACTACTCGGTGATCTTTATCACTTCGCTGGATTAATGTATTGGTGGAAAATAAGAAAACACTTTACGAATCCTATGAAAATCACACGTTCCAAATTCAAAGACTTATTTTATTTTTAATTGTTACATTGTTTATGGCTAGTACACAGTACTAAAACGAAAAATAATCTAATAAATGTATAACATTAAATTTCCAGGTGAGATATCTCGTATAGTCGGCAACGAATGGCGATCACTACCCGCCTCTACTAAACAGAGCTGGGAGGAACGTGCGGCGCGCTGCAACGAAGAGACTTCGGCCAGGCTGGCTGAGGAGATGAGGGAGCTGTCGCAACATGTGAGGACTGGTGTACACACACACATACACACACATACATACAGACAGACACACTCACACGCTCGTACACACACACACACACACACACATACATACAGACAGACACACCCACATGCTCGCACACATAGATACCTAAACAAAAATACACAGATAAGTACACATTGTTCTAATATTCTCTTTATAAAAAAAATCGAAATAGATAAAGACACCAATAAGTTTATAAGATGATAATTAAATACAGTAATACTAAGTCAGTGGTGGCCTAATGGTTAGAGGGCCCGCCTCTCGTTGCCGAGAGTGCGGGTTCGATCCTGGCCCGGGCAAAGTACCAATGTGATTTTTCCGAGTCATATGTACTTTCTAAGAATATTTAGACATCACTGATTAATGCTGATTCCCAAAAGAGGGTTGATGTCAGGCAGGCGGCCGGTCTTAAAAAAACAAATAGCCAAAACTATTCACAACAAGTAAGGCAGACCCTGGCTATAGCCGGGAAATTGCCAGGTAGAAGAAGAAGAATTAAATACAGTAACACTCCGCTGAATGCGAGGGATACGTTCCGTAAAAAATCGCGTTAACTGAAATTCGCGTATGTAGAGGTTTTTGATTAAACATAGTAAAAATTTAATATCAAAAACTACAAATAATTTTAATCAATCACTTTAATTCTAAGAACACTTTATGCAATACATACTTTTATTATTTACGGAAAAATTCATCTATTGTTTTTTGAGTTGTGCGTTTTATTTACAGTAGGACCTCGATTATCCGGACTAATTGTTGTCGGTAGGCATCCGGATAATTGAAAGTCCGGATAATCCAATATATGAAGAAAAACGGGCTTTTTGCATATGTACATATGTAGTCTGTACCATACATATGTAATGTTAGGTGTTTATTTAATACAACAAATACATATGAGCGAAAATCAACGTTTATTAAGAAATTGTACACAATGTACGTATAAGTGTTATAAGTAGGGCCCGGATTAATATGTAAATACATATTTTTAATTTACGCGATTTTCGGTCTAGAATGTGTTTTTTACATGGATTGTCATATTTAGACTGTGAAAAACCAATTTTTATTTTACATATTTTACCAATTTCAAAGTTAAGTCCATATTTTACAAAAAATTGTCACAATCATCCATATATTCACAAAAAACATAAAATTTACTTTCCCGCCACTAATGTTTTGGATGAAAATAAAGGATATAAACGCTAAAAAATTAACAAAATTCTGTGCGAAAGTTTCGAGGGCTGTAGAAATGGCTTACACAATTACTGAATTAAGTATGTTTAAGTATGCACCCATCACGTCATGTGAGTGGAGAGATCATTCACCAAATATAAGGCTATATTTCGACCAGATGGTCAGTTTTCATTTTGATAATTTAAAGAAGCACGTCATTGTGTATTGCAATCAATTTGACAAAGCTAGTGTAATGGAAGTTGAATAAAACTGTTACTTTTTGTTGAAATAAATATTTCACACCTTTTTTTCATCGTTTTTTAAATGATCCTTTTTTATAGTAAAACAATGTTTAATTATGAAATTATTTCATTTTATACTCCATATTTTTTCCATATTTTTTGACTTTTTCGTCCATATTTTATGTACATATTTTTGATTTTTTAATACATATTTATCCGGGCCCTAGTTATAAGTGGTGTGGCGTTATGCAAGTTCAGACATGTTAATGTTATAATAAACTCGTCGCGATTGGCAGTCCGGATAATCGCGAATTCGGATAACCGAGGTCCGGATAATCGGGGTCCTACTGTACTTTCTTATAAAATACGTTCATAACACCCATCATTGTTTGTAATTGTTTGACACTCGGTCAAAACACGGTCATCATTATTGTCTATACTCTACAATATGTCCAAATCTGATTTTTTTTATTCGCGCTATAGTAAAACCTCGCATTACAATAGTAATATCAAGTGAAAGATGTTATTAACTAATAATTTTGTACTATTTATTTTCTAGACTCCTATGGAGATGACTTACGAGTGTGCCTGGGACACGTGCGACTATCAGTTTGAAGATCTGTCAGACTGTATGGAACATTGTATCGGAGACGGGGGAAATAGTAAGTATAATATAACATACTGATGTTAGAAAATATATATGGATGATTACTATTAGAATAACTAGATGGCGCTGTTAATAAAGAGTAATTATTATAATATTTTTGATAAAAAACTGAAGTATTGGAAATGAAGTGAGTTGCTAAAACTAGTTTATCATATGCTAGATAAATAATGAGAATTTTTTAAGTATATTCAACTGTTATTGGATTTTTATAATGATATAAGTTTTTTCTAAGTTTCACTATGAAAAGTCTATTTTATAATATTAGATTGTTTAATCGCAAGCATATCTTTAAAAGTTTAGAGCCTTTTGTTACTGTTTTTCTATACAATATAAGGAGCTAGTCAATTATTTATAAGAATTCAGTATTTTCATCAATTCAGAATATGTAGTTGTATATGTAAGCTATTTCATATAATTTTTTACTTGTAATGCTGCTAGTGATTGGAACGTATATTGAAACGAAGAAGAATAAATTAGAACGTAAGTATTACACATATAAAATTATAAATTGAAGAATAGGAGATATTGGACCATAAAGAAATGATTTTTTTTTGTAACTCCCAATTATATCACAAAATGAGAAATAAATTTAAATTCCATTATAATCCACTCATATGTAAGTTATAAGTGTTTCACGATCAATACATACACCAACTGCAAATATGCATATATTTTGTACACTGTGTAAATAAATGGTAATACAAATCATATTCACGGTCTATTAAATCTTATTAATAATTGAATTCTAACTATCACTATTACCAATCTTCTACCTGGCAATTTCCCAGCTTTCAGCCAGGGTCTGCCTTACATGTTGTGAATAGTTTTGGCTAATTGTTTTTATGACTTACCGCCTGCCTGACATCAACCCTCTTTCGGGAAAAAACTATGACCATTATCAATAGTATGTCTAATCCAATATTTTTTTCCACCCAACATGTTCATCAGCGGGTCACGTGCAGCAACACTATGTCCGCGGCGGCGGGGAATTCCCGTGTTTGTGGAGGTCATGCGCCAGGGTCAGAAAGGGTCAGGCGCCCTTCCCTAACCTGCCGAGATTATTGAGACACGTGAGGGATCTACACGTTAATAAAGGCAACGGGAAGACTATGGCTGTACATGAGAGATCCAGGTATAATATATATCTTTATATAATACTAGAAGAACCGGCGAACTTCGTATTGCCCTATAATCAAGAAATATCTGTTACTTTTTTTTTATTTATATTTTTGGAGTTTACCTATTAATGCCATAAATCTCCGTGTTTTGAAGTGCGACAGAAGGATTGACATATTAATTTGTTGTCAAATGTAATGTCAAAAAAAACAGTTTGTATCAACAACTACTAATAAATTAAAAATTAATTTAAAAAAATTGTCCAGTGGACAAAATTGTGAATCTAAACAATTCCCGGATCCCCTTGAACACACAAAAAATTTCATCAAAATCGGTCCAGTCGTTTGAGAGAAGTTCAGTGACATACACACTCACACATGAATTATATACATATAAAAAGATATCTAATATATAAAATTTTCATGTAATTATTTTTGTTTTATCAGATTCCCAAATATTCATTTATGTTTGTAAATATATATATATATATATATATATATATATATATACTCAAAATTTTCTGACAAATATATATGTATATCGTCATATTAAATCTGTTAAAGATATTTTTTTTATATTAACATTTTGTTTTTCAGAAATTTCGTTCCTTCATCTAAGAAGCCACCCAAGCCGTATTTCACCAGAAGCGGCCTTATGTCTCCGGGAGGTAATGTTTGATGTGTTCTTATTTATAGCTTCGGTTGAAACGAACTGCCCTATTTATAAACATAATCCATTAAAAGAAACACTACTATAACCATAACTACTAACTTTAACCATGAATTTAATGTAGTATCAAAATATCAAACAAATTGTGTATATATTAACCATATCCTACTAATATTATAATTGCGAAAGTTTGTGAGTGTGAATGTTTGTTACTTCTTCACGCTCAAACGGCTGAACAGATTTTGATAAAATTTTGTATACAGGAAGCTGACGTCCGGGAATAACACATGGGATACTTTACATCCCGGAAATTCGCGTGTATAACCGCGGGGCGCAGCTAGTAATAATATATATCGTATATTCGCAGGTTCTTTATCAGGTATGTCTCCTATGGCGAGGAATACTCCTTCTCCCGGCCCGGAATCTTCAAGGTCTGGTCTGGACCCGCTGTTTGTGGCCGCGCCGCCTCGCGCACAACGAGTTACACACTCAGAGGCTTATATACGGTAAATAATATATTAGAAAACATTATTAGTGTCTTAAAACAATTTGACGGTTAAGTCTATTATCATTAGCACAGCTTATACTGAGATGAACCTTGCTCCTACACTGTATTCTTTAAATTTAATTATTTTCTTCTGTATAATCTATGTAATGTATGTGTATAGCAAATAAATGGTATAAATGGTTTATATGTAAATCGTTTACACTGTGTGTTTTATTGACATCTAGATTCTCGAGTATTATTCATTTAAATGAAAGTAATATTTTTCGGATGTACTATGCGCCTTTATTTTTGATATTAACTACATACTCCCGACGTTTCGGCTACTTTTCAGCAATCGTGATCACAAAGACGAAATGTGAATGATACCTACATTAGGAGACATTATTGGTAGCTTAAAACTATTTGTCAGTTAAACTTATTAGATGTAAATCGAATTATGTTTTTCGTGTTCGCTGTAATTATTATTATTAATTTTTGTCAAAGTAACTGGAACATTATATCTTAGAAGTTTGATTTCTGTTTGTATCAATTAATTTTGCTTATGTTTAACTTTCATATTCATCATTTATCCATAATTGAAATATATGATATTAATCAATATTGTGTTGTTACAGATACATCGAAGGTCTTCATTCCGAACAGAAGTATATAACGCCGTGGGAGAAATCTCTAACACCCATGCCAGTTAACATTGACCCTTCGCAATTCAATCTACATAAGCTACCCACTCATTGGATGACAGACGAAGCGGTCAACGGTTACTTACAACAAGACAAGAATCTCACAGAAACCGACATACAGAAAATGGATCAATCTACTAAAGTATTAAAAGGTCTCTGCGCACTCAGAGACTTCATGATGAGAGATGCCTTAGCTGTATATAAGAGTTATTGATGTTGGTATATACTAATAAAGAATCATTTTTATACATCACTTTCATTACATCATCAGCCTATCAGAAGCCCACTGCTGAGCATAGCCTCTTCTCACATAGAGAAGGTTTGAGCATTAATCACCACACATGCTTAAGATGGGTTGGTGATTTCAAACTTATAATTGTGAAATTATAAGCCCAGGTTTCCTCACGATGTTTTCCTTCACCGTATGTCAGTGGTGTCTAAATATTTAGACTTTCATTACAACAGGTCGAAATCAAAAACATTCTGAAGCTTAGCTTAGTTTATTATAATAATATAAATATAAAAAAATACATATATAGTGTATTTTATGGCGTAATGGCTTGCTAGTTAAAATGTTTAGGCATTTTCAACTTCTTCTTTCAGAAGTCTTACCAGATTGTTGAATTTGTTGCCTTCGAAGATTAATACCTGGGAAAAATAGATTTGGGATATATTATTGTTTTTGATAGAACCATAATGCATGGAATTAATGTATTATCCATACATAGATATATTTAAAGCCACTTGAACTGGATTAGTAATAATTTAGTTTACCTTTCTACAAGGTGTCATAGCTCCTCCATCATAGTCCCATTGAGATAAATCTGCTTGTTCTGTTACATCTACATCAAAACTGGCTATTGCTTCATCAACTAGTGGCTTTTCTTCCTGGTTAGCAAACAGCACTTCGGATTCATCATCTAAAAATTTTACTATATTTAAAACATGAACATTGCCTAACAAAACTAATTTGCTATATACAGAAACAGTGTGGCTTTAAAACAAGAAATTCTTTATTAGCTATTAGAGTTTTTACAGTTATCTGTTAAAATTAACAATCAACAATATTTTAGGACATACAAATATTACATATATATAAAAGTAATTCAATTATATGATTATTCCTATTCTTACAGTCTATATTTTTATAATTTTACAAATAGATTCTCCGATTGATATAAGTCTATATAATGAAATAAATTATTACCTCCCGTTTTATATGTCTTACAAATCCATACAAGATATTGGAATACATATGGCATGTTTTTCTTTAGCGCCTTGTCTAATTCATTCTGGAGTGATGAGAAAAGTGGAACGCTTATAGCCGCTGGAATGTTTAAAATCCTGAAAAGACAATTATAAATTAATTGATTAGTTAAAAGAGAAATAGTTAACATTCTAAAGAAAATTTTTAATCAAATATCATTATCAAATCTTTATAGAAGTCCTACAATAAGGAAAATTTAAATAACATTTTTTATGTACCTTTCATTTATAACTAGACCAACATGGTTTGAATCATCTGATAGAATCTTATTTACTAAAGCCTTTGTTTGATCGTCAGCGTTGTCATTTGCCAGAGAAGTCAGCAAAGTTCTGATTTGCTTGATGCTCTGTTCATCCTTTAAAAAAACAATTTTGAAATATTACTCATAAAAAAATCTTAAACATTTTTTTTTGAATATTTCAGGAAAAAGTTACTCAGTCAATAATTAAGAAATAGAAATTTCATTCTTAACAATATATTTTTAACATGTTCATATCTACATAAGCACAGACCGATCAAGGTTAAAATTTAATCGTTTTTTTTAAATCTATGACTTTGAAGTTAATTTTTCCACAGTGCATGATAAATTTAATTAAAAAAATATGCATGTTTAATACTCAAATAGTGATGCAGATTTTGACTGTTCTTGACAATATCCATAATAAATTGGAAATATGAGAAAAACTGGCTTTAATTGCATATATTTTAAAAGTGAGAAGTCATACTTACTTTTCTCTTAGTTATATTTATAACGGTTGTGATACCAAATACTCCATCACTGCCGTCATCTTCATCATCATCTTCAAGACCATCGTCCAGGCATTGCTTCACAACACTACCGATGTAGTTTTGAGCTACAAACAACATACAATTAATATTCAATAATAAAACAACAGTAAATATTTACATAATGAATTATGTCACACTTTAAAACATTTATTTGAAATCTTTAAATTTCTTTACGATTCTGTATAAGCATTGGGAAAATAGAGACTAAATAATGATTTGAGTGAGTGCCAATTTAAATGCTAAGGTTTTCAGATAATACCAAGCATTTTTATTTTATGACTTCATAATCTTGATGTAAAACCGTGATCACAGGAAGGTGAAGTGAAAAGTTTTCTACTTATAATACTATCCAAAAACCTTAGTAATCTCATTTAAAAACCAAATTATTTAAAAAATAATAATGGGAATACATTAATTTATTAAAAAAAATATGTCTTACATATAATAATCTGTGCCAGGCCCCCTAGGTCCACATTTGATTTTAAGAACAGTTGCCTCAATAATTGCTTGATTCCATGAAAATCACAGTCCTCTGGGTTTCTTCCTTCGAAATCAGCTTGTAATTCCTGATAATCATAAAAATAATAGATTACTAAAAGGACTTCGACGTCCAGCCATAAATCTAGAATATCGCTTTGTTGACATAACTTTTCATAAACAACCATAATAGTAGCATACATTTACAACATTACAATGAGTCGTAACGAGCTTTTATCGTAAGGAATCTTTTTCAAATAATTTCTGTAACATGAAGCTTCTTCAAAACATACCACTTTACGAAGAATGGGTTTGGAGTAAATAATGGTAATTTTGTGAACTTTAGTAAAAAAAATATAAAAACCATGTGTTCCGGAGGTTATGTTATAACTTACTTTGTCGCCGACAAAGTTTCCATCTGAATCAAAGTCTGAATCCTTGTCGCTGCCTGATTCCTGTTCTTCTTCACTTTCACTTTCTGGATCTTGCATTTCCTTGTTTCTTTTATTAGACATGTTGTATGCTTTGAATAACTAACGCAATTGCCGGAGAATGCGGAGATGTAGCAAAACACAACAGAAAACGAACTGACAAAAACTTTGTGAACTTGACAGTTGACATTGGAAATGACAGATAAAAATAACATGTAGTGCCTTTAACACAGTTTCAGTATTCCCATCTTATAGAACAGTATTTTTCTCTTTACATATTTTGTCCTCAATACTTTTTTAAAACTGTAGATTACATTGAGGAATATCTTTTGTAATTATATTTTTGTTAAGTTTAAATGTGAAATCAAAGCTAAATGGTGCTTAAATTATAAATCACAAGCTGATATATATAATGGTATATATAAAGCAATTTTGTTAAGCTAAAGCTTGATTTTAGTGTAAAGAATATAATATTAATTTTATTTGTTACTTATAAACATCTTAAAGTTTTTTTTGTGTATTTATAATTGATTATTCGTTATACATATTAATAAGGAGAGTGAAGTAGGACCAAGATGTTTTAAGAATCTGAAATTAGTGAAAAAATATATTTACTCTAACGTTATGCGTTGGAAAAATATTGATGAAAATGAAAATTCGTTCTAGGGGTATTTATATTATGCTACACGTATTCCCTCAAGCGCTCCATGACCTCAGGGATGAACTCAGTGAAGCGTTACTCTGTGATACTGAAACTTACCGTTGCGTAACATTCCATTGATACTGTTGAAAATCCAAACGTTGTTATGTGCACTCGCTTCTGGGATCTAAAATATTTTACAAAGTCTATTACAGTAATATATTTATAATAATAATGTTTACATCACAATAATGTTATATTACCTGTGGAGCATAATAAGTATAGATTTCTTTATGCTATTCGATGAAACATACCAACCGCTGTTATATAGAGCCTCCCCAACACTTTCGCTCTAAAAATTGTTATGAGAATTACCACTCTGTTTCAGTATAATTGAGTGTATTTGTATATAAATACAAAATTTAAACAAGTGAATTATAAAATAAACTAACCGTGTCGACCAAATGTTGTCCGTACCAACAGAGTATCCATATTTGAGAAGTGGCGGTTAAGAAAAATATTTTGTAATTAAACTCATTCCATTTTTCAACGAACTGAAAAATAATAATTAATAATGAAGTTGTAAGTAAAGTAATTCTATACCAATTAAAATTTAAGCAAATGTTAAAAGAGTGCTAAACGTTTCAAAATAACAAGGAGATGCATCTTCGCAGTTTTTTCCTGTGTTTTTGAACTTGGGTCCCGCTTTCCCCCAAAACTTGCTCAGCCCCAAAACTACGCCATATAATTGGTCTAGAAAACAAAAAAAGACCCTTGACTAGACATTCCGTTGCCGAGATCATCTCCGTGGATAAAAGCCCTGAGTCGCCAGTATAGTTTTCTATACGCTTCACTCACTAAATGCACATAATTCATTTTTTATCACGGTCTTCGTACTTACCGCGCAACAAAATAAACAGAAGCATATAATTATGGAGCTGTTTAGGAAATTCACAAGAAGTGAAAACGAATACATGTTCTCAACGTCTCTTGACAATCTGCAAAAAAAGTACGTTAGTGAAAAAGGAAAATAAAATCATTTGAGGTTCCTTAAAACATTAGAGTTACATTATTTCTCGACTTTTTCTCTTTACATTTACAGTCTACCAAAGTTTGCGATTTTCATTAAAATGTTGGTTTTTACTGGTCTTCAAACAATTGTTATTTCAAACGAGCTTAAAAGTCTGTTGTTCTTGAGATATACTCAAAGAAAAATATTAGGTGTACAACTTTGCTTCCGCCGTTTTTTTCCGAAATTCGAGGCTTTATTGTAAAAAACTGGTTATACATTTATGATTCAAAGTATTGTCCATCGCTGGCCACTACTTTCTTCCATCTTTCGGGCAGCATACGAATCCCGCGTTGAAAAAACTGGTCATCTTTTGAAGCCATTCACAAATAGATCCAATTTTTTACTTCTTCATAAGACCGGAAGTGCTGGTCAGCCAGGGCGTGTACCATTGATCGAAACAAGTGATAGTCCGAGGGAGCAACGTCTGGAGAATACGGCGGGTGGGGTAGGACTTCCCATTCCAACGTTTCCAAGTATGTCTTGACCACTTTCGCAACATGGGGTCGAGCATTGTCGTGCTGTAAAATCACTTTATCATGTATCTCGTTGTATTGCGGCCGTTTGTCTTTCAATGCTCGGCTCAAACGCATTAATTGCGTTCGATAACTATCGCCTGTGATTGTTTCAGTCGGTTTTAACAACTCATAATGCACTACGCCGAGCTGGTCCCACCAAATACAGAGCATACCTTGGAACCGTGAATATTCGGTTTGACCGTCGACATGGAAGCATGGCCGGGATATCCCCATAATTTTCTGCGCTTGGGATTATCGTAATGAACCCATTTTTCGTCCCCAGTCACAATGCGATGCAGAAATCCTTTCCGTCTTTGCCTTGCAAGCAGCTATTCACAAGCAAACAAACGCCGTTAAACATCTCTCGGCTTCAACTCGTACGGCACCCAATTTCCTTGTTTCTGAATCATGCCCATGACTTTCAGGCGTTTTGAAATGGCTTGTTGCGTCACTCCCAATGATCCTGCCAATTCTTGTTGCGTTTGACACGAGTCTTGATTAAGTAATGCCTCCAATTCTGCATCTTCGAAAACCTTCTCTCTTCCACCGCCATGCCGGTCTTCGACGTCAAAATCACCGTTCTTGAAGCGTTGAAACCACTCTCGGCACGTTCTTTTACTAATAGCAGCCTCACCATAGGTATTTGAGAGCATTCGATGAGCCTCAGCCGCAGATTTCTTCATATTAAAGCAGAAAATTAAAACCTCCCGCAAATGACGAGAATTTGGCTCGTAAGCTGACATGTTTAATCGAGAATAACTTTATGATGCAGACACAAATCGACTAATATTTCGATGGCGTTATGTTTACAAATGCCTAAGCTTATTGTATGACATCAACGATCTATTTATTTCGACTACCACTTACCGCTACAACCATCTATTGCAAAACGGCGGAAGCAAAGTTGTACACCTATGTAATACATAATACTCAAAGAAAAGACCCTTTTTTGAACGTCAAATATAAAATAGTGTACCTAGTTTGAAGTTAGAAACGATTGTTTTGACCTACCTATTTAGAGATAAAATGGAAATATATTTCAAAATGGATGATAGTCTAAATTGGATTCTATTTAATTAAATATATGTCGATACTGAATGTACGAAAGGCTTTTGGTTTTTCATTCTGCTGAGTGGAGATTGTCGTTTTTGGTACTATTTCCTAATATTAAATTTGTAACCTTCACTTGTGCAAAATTTATATTATATCCAATTAATGTCTCGTGACACGAATCTCTACTTCCAAATACTCTACCGAATTAAAGATATGTGTCGTATAACAATTTCTTTAAGTTCTTCCTCTTCCATTTTGCTTCTGTTGGTTGCTGTATCCTGATTTGGATTATTTAATAAATTTTCTTTGTTATAATATCCTGAAATAATAATAAGAAATTAATATTAATACCAATAATTGTAATGAAGAATCAAAGTTGTTTTTGTCTTAACTCTCATAGAAGTTTAGAATATCAAATAATAAGTTACTTTTAATAACCAAGTATCCTCCATTAGTGGAGTATTACGTAATAAATAAATAGGTTCCACTCTCATGTAACACACATTTATAGAAGTTGGTACCGTCGAGTTTTAATTAAAAATTTATCTAACCACATGTACAAGTCATGAATATTCTTGTTGCACTCAAAGGATTTGAATCATGTACGGTGGTCTTTGACGCATGAAATGTTTTTAATGGTTATAATAAAATATAAACTTGTTAAAACTACCGAGTGGATACGACTCTGGAAGTTGTCCATCAATAGGAACGTAGAACATCTTTTTAATCCTGACAGCAAGTAAGGAGAACTGTGTAGTGATGTGACTGAGGAAGGAGAAGAATAAGAGATCTCCTGCCAGCATATAAGCTACAGAGAGGAAACCTGGAAGACATGAAACTTCTCATCATTCAATGGATTCACCGTGCGGGTGTTGGGTCCATGGCGTTGCAAAGAGAGGAGCTTCAACAGTGCCTGCGACTTGCGACCAAGGTGTAGGTTTAATTGGCCCCTGTCTAGCGCGCGTTAAACGCTCACCTCCACTGTCCAAGCTCTTTTCTTTACCTATCAAACTTTGAGAAGACCTACTAAGAAGTGTTCCAAGAATGAATTAATATTAATTCTGGACTGGCCCAAGCATTTTAGTAAAATGTATAGAGATTTAGTTGTTATATCTCTCGCTCCATATTTTACCTATTCCTGATGAGTTCACAAGTACAGTTCATAATACTTATTGACCTTGAAGGAATGGCTTTTGGGGATATTAGTTTTCAAAGGTACCGTAAGCTCTATTAACACAACGCGCAACTAGGTTGACGCACAAATATCGTTTGTATTTTGTAAAAAGAAATATTTAGTTATAGTTAATAAAATATAAAAGTCCTTGAGAACATGTTCATTTATAATGAGCACTTGAGATGGTTATTATAAAATATAATAGAAAATGTAAACTACTTACAATGTACGTTTTGAACAATGATTATTACTTCAAAGACAATCTTCTTAGACGGATCGAATGGTAGCCAGTAGACGAATGGCAATATACGCGGCACTTCGATACCAAACAGAGGTTTTATAAGATTGATGTTAGACGGCAGGGTGAAGATGAAAGCCAATATGAAATTGCAGTAGAAGTAAGCTGTGGGAGATATTATATTTATTAGCATTGATAAATATAGTTATTGTCACAAAATATAACATATATTACTATATTATAAAGAATAAGTACTAATTATATTTGATTTGTGAGTGTCTTTGTAAATTTAAGTTGTTCAAGGAGTTTTAGTTTTAGATAATAATTAGTTAAAATTCATTAAGAAATGTTTTTTTTTAGTTTAGGTTTGATTTGTTATTTAAAAGTTACAGTTTTATAGGACAACCATGTTTTTTACTGATTTTTGTCCGAATCTTAAATTCAGAAGTAGGAACCATAAAATGACATTCATAATTATATTTATGCAATGTAAATTTTATTGCAATAAAACATCAAATATATTTTTAACTCTGATTTTAACTCTTGCTTGCGTGTGATACCTATTAGTTAATGAACAACAGTAGTCTCGCGAGAAGTCGCATCAACAAGTTAATCACACGATCTAGGAAGAAAATGTATTTTCAGAATAATAAATCATAATCAAGAAGGACACATTCTAGGTCCATCGTAACGGTGAGTATGATAGTTATAGAAATAAACTTAAAGTCAATCCTATCATGTTTAAATACATTAGAAACTGAACGGTTTGCTTCAAGTAAAGAGACTCTTAGCAACGACTTACAAAATAACGAAACTGGTAGGCTACTCCTTTACTGGGAAATTACAAAATGACCATGCGATTCTATTAAAGGTTGACTCTAACAACTATAAATTTATTTTATTAATAGTAGACGCATTAAGTCAGTTTGGTTTCATATATTCAAATCGTAAGAATGCAGGAGAACATAAGCGCACGTTTACCAAAACAGTCTAACTCTTTGTCTTCACTAAGGTAACTGACGGCAGGCGAGTATACGAATCTTCCGAGTTTTCCTTTTCACCTACCAAGTTTAAGTGGAAAAGTTTACATTCATGTAATAACACCCGAAATGCATTAGGCTGGTTGGCGGGAGAAAGAAAAGAACACATATTATACCAACGCTATTTCGTGACGTCTCTATCGAGAGGTCTGAAAACTCACAAGAGCTGGCGAAAGCTGTACAGGTCGAGAGCTCACTGAGTGTTCATACAAAATCAATTCAAACAAGACTTACGTAAATCATCAGAGGCGCATTCTTGTAATATTCTTGTAATATTGATTTAGTTTTCGTAATTAAATATTCAAAGTGTAAAAGAAAAACTAGAATCTGGTATAATTGGTACTTATCGAATAATTTTTAAGTCTTATCAAGTGGTCGTTACCACTTAAAATTCATCATTGGTTCGTATGGGAAAACTAGACAAGCAGTAGCTAAGTATATGTTATCTTAGAATGAAGAGCGATGTTCCGAATCAAGCTCAGTATTTTGTTGGTTTCAAACCGTAAGCTGATGAATGGCTTTGGCACATATCCATTAGGTAAAAAAGTGACGCGGTCTTACATTTTAGAAAAATTATCTTTAACAGATTAAAATTCCTTTGTTTTAATGAGTAATTGGAGGAGTTTGATTGGGTTTGCTGCACACCTAACACAGTTTTCATTTTTCAGGTTAATTAAAATTAAGCGTTTCAAGGTGTTTTGGTTTTTGATGAAAATAAGTTAAATCTCTTCAAGAGAAGTTTGTTCCAGTTAAGGATTGATTTGTTGTATAAGAATTGTAGGTTTATAGGACGACTACATTTTTTTATTATTTTGTTTTAATCCTAAATATATGTATATAGAAGATATTAATGTTATTAAGTTTTTGGTGACATTTTCTGGCAAAATATATATCTTTCTTACTTTTGGTAACCAGTCTCAGTCGCTTTAAGGCGTTGTTTATAATAGTTTGTTCTTCATCAGTGACGTTGTCTCTCGGCCACATTTCTCTCAATTCACTCATCAGATTAATGAACACTGGTTTGTAGCGTTCTACTTTGTAGACTTTCGCTATTGCTAAATTTGATAGTAGAAAAAAAATATCAGTTAAGGTATGTTCACAATATATACCATTAAACAATGAAGCCTTAATAAAGCCAAATTTTGTTTTCAAAACTTAAATAATCTTTTAATTTGTGAAGAAACTCTGAATAACGAGTAACAATTAAGTCAAAATAAGAAAAATTCAAGAAATCGGTAATATTATGATAATATTTAAAGTATAATTTGTTCACAATTATTATGGTAGGTACAAAACTAAAATAAAGATTGTACTATTGTTTTCCATCTGTATCTTTATAACCAAAACTCTGATATATGAATGTTTTGCACATAGGTTAGTTACTATCGATAGTCTTTTAATTAAAGTTTTTTGTTTACATTTATACCTACCCACAAAAAGATAACCAACACATGGCATCATAGTAAACAAGTCTATGATAGTTCCTCCAGACGCCGTCGTTATTACACCGAGTATTTCCAGCACCGTCGATATGTATATATTTAACATCAGGAACCAACATCCTAGATTACGAATTTTACTGCAAGAAAATATGTGTATTACATCCCTACTAATATTATAAATGCGAAAGCAACTCTGCCTGTCTGTCTGTCTGTTACGCTTTCACGCCTACACCACTAAATTGATTTTAATGAAATTTGGTACAGAGATAGAGTTGACCTTGAGAAAGAACATAGGATACTTTTTATCCCAGATTTTTGAAAAGTTCTCTTAGAATCGCGATATAACCGAACTCCACGCGGGCGAGTCTGCGGGCGGAAAGCTAATAACTAATAAGTATACTACAATAGATGTACATAATTATTTAAGGAACCGTTACGTTGCATTTGTTTTGTTACCATCATAAAATAGTATTTTTTTTTTAGTAAAAATACTAAAAAGTAATTAAATAATCTATCTGTTAAAATAACTTATTTGTGATTAGACTTTCTTTGTATCTATAATTTGCATATTACCTAGTTGTAGTAGATTCTTCTTCGTCTGTTAATTTAAGACACAATCCACTTAACACTTGTATCGCCATCTTGTAAGTTGCATCATAGTCGTCTAAAACGAACTTGTGACCCTGTTAGAGTTAAATTATATATACATATATTATATATTCATTTTGACTGGATAATGCTTGACTATCATTTCATCTATTAAAAGAAAGAAATTAAGTCGTTGATGGTGAATGCACTGTGACAATATCATTATTCACCCTTTTTTGAAGATACCCAAATTATAATTTGTAGGAAACACAGACGTATCCAAAATGTTCCAAACCCTTGCTCTGCGCATGAGGAAGGAGGAAGCATATCGCTTCGTCCGGATGTGAGGAAGATCTACAATGAAAGAATGGTGGCCCAACGTGCGTTTAGTTGTCCGATGACAGAAAGGGGGTGCGGAAATTAAATAGAATAATAGAATACCGAAAGGCTAGCAACTTTTCGTATAAACAAAGAAGCTGACCTCGAGTTTCTTTGCAGCTGCCCTAGCTTCGACTCAATGAACCGCTCAAAGTGTGAGGATACCTCAATACCTAATATTTGAACTTTCAGAGTGTTTTAAGGAAACTTTCCCCAAAAGTTAGTGTTAAGTACAATAATATGCTCTACCTTTTTGGCTTTTTCTAACTATGATTGATCCCGACTGACCCTAGGACTGGATTCATACCACTTAGAACTGTATTGTCATCTGCTTAACCAAAAACTCCCGGTAAAAGCAGATCGTTCTTGGGCTATTAAAACTAGAGTTGCGGAGAGGAAAGACTCTTGAGGAACCCCAGAGTTGACAGCCGTTGGCCCAGACGAACAGCCATTAAGAACTACTCAAAGTTCACGGTCTCTCAGAAAGTCAGAAATCCAATTAAGTTGACCAGGGAATATGCCGAAAAGATTACCAATTGGGCTATTATGCCAGACCCTGTTAAAAGCTTATGAGATATTGATTGAAACTGCGAGAGGTTCAGAGACAAAACCTCTTAGCATTCAATGGATATTATGATTGGTACCGAGTCTATCGCGTTGCAGGGAGAGAAGGTTTGACAGTGCCTGGGACTTATGACCCAGGTGTAAGTTTAAGAGGCCCCTATCTAATGCACGTTAAACACTCACCTCCACGGTCCAAGCGTCTCTCTCTACTTAACTAAATTTGAAACGAACCTATTAGGGTTATTCTAAAGCCTTCTAAAGAAAATATACAGTTAATCGATTTCGGCGAAACCTATATTGTCGGTCAGTGAGGAGATCATTGTCTTCTAGGTATGTCATGAGGCGTCTTTTCAATATTCGTGCCATAATTACTAATGAAATAATTTTGCATACTATTGAAGAGAGTAAAAACGATTGTTATTAAAGAAAGACTAATAAATCTGATTAATATAACATTTACCTGTTTCTTTGGTGAAGAAGGTTTTGTTTCATTCAACCGACTCTTATTGGCAGACGCCATTTTGTATAATATAAATGCGGGAAAAATTGTTCAGAAATGAAGTTTTATACAAGCAGCGTGAGAAAAGATATAAAATTCATACGCAACTTAACCAACAATTACAGTTTTTTATTCTGTTTGCAAGCTTAAATTATGCAGGATTTTAATTATTTTTATGCACTAGCCTCATATCATATATTTTTTATTTGTAAATTACTTTTTAAACTAAGCTTTTTTCATATTTCTTGCTAATATTTTTAATAACCTAATAAGAAATATATTATTATAGAACTTATTAATAAGTTATAACTATTTTATATAGTAGTGAAACTAAATAATAATATACATATAGCCGGAAACCCCAAAATAAAATACAAAAAAATGTGAATTCTATTAAATTTCAATGAAAATGCTCAGTTTTAAGATTACAAATTAATGTTGAGTTGTAAGTGAAATATAAGACTATTGAAACATAAAGTAAGCGTTGTATATACCTCTCTTTATTGGTCTTAAGCTACATCTTACAAGTGAAAAGGATTCTCAAGGCCTTATATTCTATATTAGTGAGATTTCATACATTTGCAGCAATATTTAAGATCTTTATTTTTAGCTGGAGTTTACATATTTACTATTCAATTTATATATATTACATACCATCTACTAATAAACAATATATTTTTGTATATCTCACAATTACTACACTTAGAATATGTAAATAACATATACCACCATTTTAGATGTCGGTTAAAAGCTATTCAAGACTGAAAGCTTTTTGTTTTTTTCATTCTAACTATTTCATTATTCATATTGTTTGACGGTCACTGTTTATGCAACTGTGTTATTATATTTCTGCAATAATTATATGAATGCCAATCACTGGAACACCACTTTGATTTCTATATCATTACATTGTGGTGTGAAAAATGTTTTTTTATTGATTAATTATTATTAAAATATTTCTTTGTAATAGATAATTTATATATTCAATAGTCCGCATGAATATCAGAGAGAGAAATGTGTAAAATGTATTGAAACAATACATGTAGTAGCCTTTTCATTTTAAATTACCTAGATATTGACTGCAGTGTCATCTGCCAGGCCGATTTGTGCTAAGCCATCTGGAGAGAAACGCAAATACATACAAAAAAGAAATTCAAATCGGTCCAGCAGTTAAAGAGGTAACAATATACACATGCACAGTAGATTTATTGGTACATATATGTGAAGATTTCCAATTATAATCTAAGGTATTTTATTTAGGAACCTAATTATATCTGTTGAACTAAAATGAATGAATTTCAAAGATTGATCTCAAAACTCTTCACCATGCTAGATGTTTCAGTAGAATTAAATTTTACTTATAAATTTTAACTTCAAATAAATAAGACTGAATTTAAATGGCCGATTGTGATGACATTGTAAGCTTACAATATAATAATTATAGCATTTAATTTGTTTAATAATCTCAATAAAGAAGTAAGGATAACTTCTTATAACTATCCACTATTACGTGAAATGATATATCTAGTTTTTATTATTATTAAATAATTTGTATTTTATTTAGCCAGAGATGATGATAGTTGGATGTTAACAATCTAATAGGAAAATAAAAGATGGCATGTTTGCATTCACATAAAATTTTAATTAAAAAGATTATTTTTTATGATTAAACACTTTTTGTACCTGAAATACATACTGAAGTAACTTTAAATATACTGTTACACTTCTCACACTACGGAACCTTGATATTGTTGAGGTTATGGGGTTGTCACATAACCCAATTTGTTAGTATTATTTAGGCCTAAAAACTAAAATTATAACTAATATTAACTCCCTTTAGCCTTCTTATTCTTTCTTCAGGAATTTGCTTGTTTCACTCAGCTGCTCACAAAAAATTCTATGTAAGATTAGCATCACGGTCAATAGTTGATGTAAAAATTTGTTTCAAGAAGATCAAGTCCTGGATCAAAACCATTTAATAGGTACCTTATTATAATCTTTAAGGTCATCTACCCTTGCAGAATCATGAGTGGAGTTATGTACCGAGAGGAAGAATGCAAGACAATTCTCGTGTCCAGGCTCCAAACTTTTAGTGGTTGTAAGATTAGGTAACACATATTATGGGAAGTGTGAAATGTTTTTTAAGTAAAATCTGCAAGTTTAGATGAAGTCAAGGTAGTTCATGTAGCATAGAAGACTACGGTGTCATTTATCGAACCTTTAAGCTAGGCAAATCTCAGACTCTCGTTATATCGTAAAACTTCTAATTAACTGTAAATGTTCAAAAACTATTCAGAGGATATTTTCGATCGTAAAATATCATTATCATTATTTTAACAGAATACTATTTAAAATTTTGTTCAAGAGATTATATAATTATACTCTCATCATTAATTCCCACGCGACAGAAAAGATAAACTTTTCAATTCGATGTATAGCACGAAAGTATATGTATGTGAAAAAAAAAAACAGACAGTTGAACTTCATTACTTAATAGGTTATTACACATGTTAAAGAAGTTTAACAAACCAATATCGAAACTGTATTGAGGATGTAAAAACTCGGATTAAGGGTACTGTTCATATTAAATTTTGTATTGACTATTATTAATACTGAAACAAAGAGTTGTGAATATAAAACATAAGAAATAATAATAAAATGCCACAGGTAGTTATTATCTACATGTTTACCACAAGTCTCCATAGTCACAGTGTATACGAAGCTTTTCCAGTTTTATTCATGATTATTAACATACTCTAGTATTAATGTAGGTGATTGAATAAGAAACGTTCAACGTTTCGTATGTAATATCACCATGAAAACTTGTACTAACTCTTAAATTATTTAGATAGTTACAATAAAACCAGAATATGTTCCGAGTTAAGTAGCTTCACTCGCTAAAGATGTAATATTAAATATTTATATCTTACAAGTAATAATAGAATGAGTATTTACTGTAAACTATCAAACTACTCGTAATTATTATTGTTAAAGCACGGTGTTTCTGAAACTATTGTGTTGTCATACAAGCTCGGATGGTAAGTTTAACTGGTGGTATTAAGATAAAGGCGATGAAACATATTAAGACTTTCATTCAGAAACCTTCACGCTTTTACAAGCGACGTTAAAAAGTATTTTACTCTGATAACACTAGGCCTAAACTAATAACGAAGAAACTAAAGGTATGTTATTTTCCATGTAACTGTTACAGCTGATAGTAGGTCATAGCTTTAATTAGTATCCTCAACGTGTGACATTATTATATATGTATCTTCTTCTAACTGGCAATTTCCCAGCTACAGCCAGGGTCTGCCTTACATGTTGTGAATAGTTTTAGCTATTTGGTTTTTCGACTGGCCGCCTGCCTGACATCAACCCTCTTTGGGAATGCAGTAACCAGTGATGTCTAAATATTCTTAGAAAATACATATGACTTGGAAAAATCACTTGCCCGGACCAGGATCGAACCCGCGCCCTCGTGCTTGAGAGGCGAGCCTTTTAACCACTAGGCCACCACTGAAATATAATATATGTATATACAATGTAAACTGATTACATATACAATGACATTTATATATATCAAGCTTGAATCCTCATTACTATTCATATAATATCGATATCATATCCGATATATGTCCATAAAATGTGAATTTAATCGATAGTTGAATCGATTAGTTTCATAATAATTACCAAAGTGTTCATCTGGTTTAAAGTCTTTGATGCCTTATTAAGACACTTAGAGATTGTTCACTGAACCGTACTGCTACTGGAATGAAGTTAGAAGTAGAAGATTATGGTGATGTTATTTTTATTTATTGAATGAATTATAATGTAATTTTGAATACTGCGTGGAGAAAAGGGGATTTTGATAAATCTTGTTGGCGTAAAATAAAAATAAGTTCTTGACAATTTTGTTTTTTCTTTTCCATAAATCTTTTAATAAAAGGTCATATTTTATATTCATTATAGGAAGATATAATTATAGAAGTTGTTACTTTAAAAACATTAATACATATTATGAGCAACAAGTGAACTCCATCATGGTTGGAGTGAATTTACACGTGACCATCATTTTAATAAACCACTGCCTTCAAAACAACATTATGATTTTAACTCTCAGCTATTTTGTTCTGTAAGAAAATAAAAAGAACCGTTTTCACGGCGCACGCAACGGAAAGCTTCAAAGATGAAATAATTTCTCCCGTTTTTTACACATTTACCACTATATCTTTGCTCCTATTGGTCTTAGCGTGATGTTATATAGCCCACAGCCTTCCTCGATAACTGGCCTATCCAACACAAAAAGAATTATTCAATTCGAATCAGTAGTTTCGAAGATTAGCGCTTTCAAACAAACAAACAAGCTCTTCAGCTTTATAATATTATGTAGTATAGATTAACATGTCAGAACTTGCATAACGCCACGCCACTTATAACACTTATACGTACATTATGTACAATTTCTTAATAAACGTTGATTTTCGCTCATATGTATTTGTTGTTTTAAATAAACACCTAACATTACACTTATTTATTTATTGATTTATTTATTTATTTATTTGTTAAAAGAACTTAAAGAAATTATTAAAGGACACAGATCTTTAATTCGGTAAAGTATTTTGAAGTAGACATATTCGTGTTACGAGACGTTGGTTGGATGTGCTATGTATTTTGCACAAATGAAGGCCATGCATTTAATATTACTACACATTACTAAAACCTAGAAATTTCGTTAAGTACTATCTCTTTACCAAAATAAATCCAAATTAGATTATGACTTCACTTTAAAATCTTTATTGCATTGCAAGTATATAATATACATATGGTCAGTAGTAGTATAGTGGTAGTAGTAGTGTAGTGGTAGTAGTAGTGTAGTGTAGTCAGTATAAATTCCTTTATTAGATTATGAATTCACTTTAAAATCTTTATTGCATTGCAAGTATATAATATACATATGGTCAGTAGTAATATAGTGGTAGTAGTAGTGTAGTGGTAGTAGTAGTGTAGTGGTAGTAGTAGTGTAGTGTAGTGTAGTCAGTATAAATTCCTTTACACACTCCTACTTTGACGCTACATTATTTTATATTTGATGTTTCATAAAAAGATATTTTCTTTGAATGTGACTTTATTACCTCAAGAACAACTATTAAGCTCTTTTTAAATTACAATTGTTAAAGTCCAGTTAAAGTAAACATTTTAATGAGAATTCCAAACTTCGATGGACTGTTGTAAAAATGTAGTACTGAGTAAAGTTAACAACTTTTGTCAATTTTATTTAATACTTTACATAACTTTTGTACTTTTTATGCAGATTGTCAAGTGACGTTGAGAACATGTATTCGTTTTCATTCCTTGTGAATTTCCTAAACAGCTCCATCACAGCACACAGCACACAGCACACACACAAAATAATGAAAATCGCGGATGAAAATCATGAAAATCGCGGATGAAAATCATGAAAATCGCGGACGAAAATCAAGAAAATCGCGGACAAAAATCGCGGACAAAAATCATGAAAATCGCGGACGAAAATCATGAAAATCGCGGATGAAAATCGCGGGCGAAAATCGCGGATGAAAATCGCGGACAAAAATCAAGAAAATCGCGGACAAAAATCATGAAAATCGCGGACGAAAATCGCGGACAAAAATCATGAAAATCGCGGACGAAAATCGCGGACAAAAATCAAGATAATCGCGGATGAAAATCGCGGACAAAAATCAAGAAAATCGCGGATGAAAATAATGAAAATCGCGGACGAAAATCATGAAAATCGCGGACGAAAATCATGAAAATCGCGGATGAAAATCGCGGACAAAAATCAAGAAAATCGCGGACAAAAATCATGAAAATCGCGGACAAAAATCATGAAAATCGCGGACGAAAATCATGAAAATCGCGGATGAAAATCGCGGGCGAAAATCGCGGACAAAAATCAAGAAAATCGCGGACAAAAATCGCGGACAAAAATCATGAAAATCGCGGACGAAAATCATGAAAATCGCGGACAAAAATCAAGAAAATCGCGGGCGAAAATCGCGGGCGAAAATCGCGGACAAAAATCAAGAAAATCGCGGACAAAAATCAAGAAAATCGCGGACGAAAATCGCGGACAAAAATCATGAAAATCGCGGATGAAAATAATGAAAATCGCGGACGAAAATCATGAAAATCGCGGACGAAATTCGCGGACGAAAATAGCGGACGAAAATCGCGGACGAAAATCATGAAAATCGCGGACAAAAATCGCGGACAAAAATCATGAAAATCGCGGACGAAAATCATGAAAATCGCGGGCGAAAATCGCGGGCGAAAATCGCGGACAAAAATCATGAAAATCGCGGACAAAAATCATGAAAATCGCGGACGAAAATCATGAAAATCGCGGACGAAAATCATGAAAATCGCGGACGAAATTCGCGGATTAAAATCGCGGACGAAAATCGCGGACGAAAATAGCGGACGAAAATCGCGGACGAAAATCGCGGCAAAAGCATGGCAAAAGCACACACGCACACACGCGCACACACACGCACACACACACACACACACACACACACACACACACACACACACACACACACACACACACACACACACACACACACACACACACACACACACACACATTACTTTGTTGTTTTGACCAAATTTTGATCATTATTTTGTTTGGTTTGAAAGTAGCTGTCCTAAGGAATGTTTTCCGAAAATGAAGTGAGCATCTGACGATGGAACCCGGAGGATATTGAGGAAAACTCTTAAAATATAAGTAGTAAACAGTGTTTTAGTCTATCTTCTAAAGTTAAAAAAGTGATTTTGACACTTTGTCACCTTTACTTTGAACAAAAACTTTTCATTTGCCACCAATGTTCCATCATCAATTCCTTCCACGATCACCATTCTTTTTTATCACCAACCTTTCATCACTATCAGATAACTTCGTAAAGGTCCCTTATGAATGAAGTGTAGTTAATTGTTTACTGACATAATTCAAACTAATATTATAAATGCGACAGTTTAAATGAAATTTAGTATTGCAGAGTATTTTTAATTGTTGATTATGGGATAAATATACCATGTCCAACAAACGCAATAATAATATACCATGTCCAACAAAAGAGCAATCAAAGAAGTAAATCGCACAATACAGGAAATTAAAGGCAATCAGAATATTATGAGCAAGATGGTGGTACTTTCAGCTGGCGAGCTTAGAGAAATTTTTCCGATTATTAGGAGGGATACGTTGGCAGATGAAATATCAAAACATCTGTATTTTAGGTACACGTTTTGTCTCACTACTATTGAATATGAATATAAAATTATACAACGATTCTCTACAACGGCAATATGAGGCAATTATTAAAATCGACATTTGTTTTTGATTCCCGTAACCTACTAATTGCTACTGATTTGATATTCCGGTTAAATAACCAGCGACCAGCGACAACTTTATGAAAACTTAAGCAGAAATACACTTAGAAAAACAATGTTTTTCCCGTGGACAACTTCAGGTAGCGAGCTCACGGGTCAAATTATAAAGAACAATAGCAACTATGGAATAAAGACAAACATTTTTCACATTACAAAGTAGTAATATTTAAAGGAAGGTGATGTTCAAGTGATTGTTGTGGACATATAATAACACGGTCGCGTCAACAGTAGCGTTCAAACAATATAAATAATAAAATGGATGAAGACTAAGGCGTTAACAATTAAATTTTAAAAATAAAAAACATTCAGTCTTGAATAGTTTTTAACCGACATCTAAAAAGGCGGTATATATTATATACTCTAAATGACCGGTCTTAAATTTTAAGAAACGCAAAAATATGTTTTTTATTGGTAGATGCTATGCAATATAAACAAATTAAATGATCATGAAAACTAAATACTAAAACACTCCCGGATTGGTCGGTAAAAATAAAGACCATAAATATTACTACAAATACATATACTCGTATTAAATCTCACTAGAACAGAATGTACAGCCTTGGGAACCCTTTTCACTTGTAAGATGTAGACTTAAGACAAATAAAGATGGTTATATACAATGCCTACTTTATGTTTTAGCAGTTTTATATTTCGCTGGTAATTCAACATTAATTTGTTACCTAATATTTGATTTAACTTTAAAAAGAAATATTGAATTTAATTCTTTTTTTTTGCATTTGGATTGTTATCTGTCTGGTTAAAATATTATTAGTATTTCTACACTATTGAATATGTATTGATAAAATGTTTTATTGTCTTCTGAAGAGTATAAAAATATTAGCATCAAATAAAAAAAATGTGATGTTATAAATAGTGTATCGAAAAGAATTATAATCCTATATAATTTAAGCTTACAAACAGAATAAAAACCTGTAATTGTTAGCTTGTGTATGAATTTTATATCTTTTCTCACGCTGCTTTTATAAAACTTCATTTCTGATCAGTTTTTCCAACATTTATATCCTACAAAATGGCGTCTGTCAATAAGAGTCGGTTGAATGAAACAAAACCTTCTTCATCAAAGAAGCAGGTAAATGTCATATTAAATGTCATTTATTCGTTATTATTAGATTAAATGTAGATTATAAAAGTAAAACTATTATTGAGATCTGAGATTTTCGCGAGTCATTTAAATGAAAGTAATATTTTTCGGATATACACGTACTACGAGACTTTATTTTTGATAAAAACTACATACTCCCGACGTTTTGGTTACTTTATAGCAAGGAATAGCCTATAGTCTATTGAAAATAAATAACATTTCAATAGAGGATATGACTGAAATCTACCAAACACCTGAAATCCTCTTCTTAAAAATATAAAATCCCATGTCCTTGACCACACCGCTGGACCTCGAGACACCCTGAGCTCATTCTGCCGGCATCCAGAGCGGTACGACAGAAAATTATGAAATCGATGGCGGTAGGTGATAAAATAATAAGACCAACTGACAGATACTCACATCTCGTCTGCCCGTGATTACGGTTATGTAGTTTTTATCAAAAATAAAGTCGCGTAGTACATATATCCGCAAAATATTAGTTTCCTAAAAATCTTTGTGTATTATGCTTTATTTTTAAGGTGTGATTTTTTTGGTTCTTTTTTTATTGGTAACAGATCAATATGAAGGTATTGTTTTCTTTTCCGTTGCTATTAAAAAACATGTTATATCACTCCTGCATTATATGAACAAAAAGAATCAAATAATATACTAATAATATGTGAAGTTAGTTGATTCCTAATATAACTTAATTCAAACAGGGTCACAAGTTCGTTTTAGACGACTATGATGCAACTTACAAGCTGGCGATAAAAATATTAAGAGGACTGTGTCTTAAATTAACAGACGAAAAGGAATCTAAAGCATTTAGGTAATATTCATAGTTTAAATACAATTTTTTTAACCGCAAATAAGTAAATGTAACAGATAAATTATACAATTATTTTAATAATATTTCTACTTAAATAAATACTATTTTATGTTCATTTAAATTTAATAGCAACCAAACAAGATCAATTTAATGTATTCTTTAAACACGTTACTGTATTATACTCACCATGTAAGTATGTATGTATGTTTCATTCCAGTTCAATTCGTAACATGATCTTCTGGTTCATGATGGTGAATGTGTTGACAGCCGCGGTGCTGGAGAGCATCTGTATGATGATGACTGGCTCAGGAGGAACCCTCGTAGAGTTGTTTACTATGATGCCGTGTGTAGGCTATCTGTTGGTGTGTACGTATACTTGGAAATAACACACATATACGACGGACTCTCTCTGAGAACACAGTTTATGTATCATTAATTATAGGAGGAATCTTTATCTTTTAGTGGAGCGGACATTTTGAACAGACAATAGATTTATTATAATTTTGTACCAAGTTAATTATTGATAAAATTTTATTATTTATGGCATCGTAATGTAACCAGTTTCTTGAATTTTCTTAAATAGACTTCCTTCATAATTTGTTTTATTAAGGGATTTATTCATAAATAAGAGATTTTTGAAGATTTTTTACCGAAGATTAGGTCTGAAACTGTACACATTTTCTATTATTTAGTGGTAGGTGTATTTCGCAAAGTTACCTGCAACACTGAAATAACAATACTGACAAAATCAATTACATTTAAAATATGTTTTTCTATATTTTTATTTGTTATTTAATTTAGCAATGTCGAAAATCTACAAAATAAAGCGCTACAAGCCGGTGTTCATTAATCTGATGAGTGAATTGAGAGAAATGTGGCCGAGAGACGACGTTACTGATGAAGAACAAACTATTATAAACAAGGACTTGAAGAGACTGAGACTGGTTACTAAAGGTAAGAAATATATAAACTTTACAAGAAAACTTAACCACAAACTTAGAAACTTACTTCACAAAATAATGTTTAAGATGTAGAAATTGTTACTCTCTGAAATTCCATTTGTTCAAATCCTGAATTTTATCAGTTCCTACTGACTATAATTATAGCCATATATGTTAAATTGGTTGATATTAACATTGAATTCTCATACACACGTTATATAACATCTCCCCCAGCTTACTTCTCGTGTAATTCCATATTGGGTCTAATCTTCACCCTGCCATCTATCGTCAACCTTATAAAGCCTCTGTTCGGTATCGAGGCGCCTCGTATATTGCCTTTCTTCTACTGGCTACCATTCGATCCTTACCAGGAAGTCATATTTGAAGTCGTGGTGATTGTGCAGAACTCACATTGTAAGTATATTATTATATGTTCATCTTAACATTAGCCTAAAATATCCTATATGTGATAAGTCATGTGTAGTCCTTGTTCTAATTCAATTGTAATAGTAAGTACTGATCTGTAAGAATATATTATTATTATTCACTATTGAACTTTATATTTTTTAATATTATTTTTCCAGGTTTCCTCTCTGCAGCCTTCATGTTAGCTGGAGATCTCTTATTCTTCTCCTTCCTCAGTAACATCACCACACAATTCTCCTTACTTGCTGTCAGGATTAAAAAGATGTTCTACGTTCCTATTGATGGACAACTTCCAGAGTCGTATCCACTTGGTAATTTTTAACAAGTTTATATTTTATTAGAAACATTAAATACAGCACGTGAAACACTTTCTTACACGATTCAAATCTTTTTCGAACCAACAAAATGTAGTAAGATAATAGCAGGAGAGCCCACGACGCTACATGGGTATTTACTCGATTGTCATGGAGACTTATCGTGTTATAAAATATTATATAATGTATACCTATTCATCAGTGGGGGGAGCGACTGTAGATTTTAAAAACCCCAAAATAAACCTAGCAGTGACATGACGTGACTCGTCACATCTTGGAATCATCCATGTTCTACTTTTTTGCATAATTTACGTATGTTAATCTGATTGTTTGTGCGGTGAGAGCAGTCTCACGCAAGGGTTGAAAGTTAAAAAGGAAATGCATCGAACGCGTCAGATTTTTTAGGTGTCCCTTAAAAAAGCCCTGATTCAATAATTCAACTACATGTACGTGACGCAAGCTAGAGTACATCATTAGAATTTTAATTCAATAATGACCCAATTTGAATACAAATAGGATTAATATAAAATATGTAAATTATATAATCCATTGTAATTATTAAATTGTCACCTTTATTCCAGGATGTAATAATAAAGAGAAATTATTAAATTATCCTAATCAGGACACATCAACCAACAGAAGTAAAGTAAAAGAGGAAGAACTTAAAGAAATTATTAAAAGACACAGATCTTTAATTCGGTAAAGTATTTGGAAGTAAAAATCTTCTTTATTGACAGTGGTTGCTAGGAATGTTGCACAAATGAATTCCATAAATAATATTTGGAAATATTACCAAAATCTGACAGTCTCGTACATATTTTTTTACGCAAATTAATTCAAATTAAATTATAAATCCACTTTAAAATATTTATTGCATTTATTTATCAATCTGTCACACATATAAATTAAAAATCTTTATATATATAATTCTTCTGTGAGTTAGTATGTCACTGAACTTCTCTCAAACGATTGGACCGATTTTGATGAAATTCTTTGTGTGTTCAACGGGATCTGGGGATGGTTTAGATTCACAATTTTGTCCGCTGGACAATATTTTTTTAATTAATTTTTAATTTATTAGTAGTTGTTGACACAAATGTTTTTTTTTGACATTAGTTTTGACAACTAACTAATATGTCAATAATTCTGTCGCACTTCAAAACACGGAGATTTATGGCTTAAATAGGTAAATTCCAAAAATATAAATTAAAAAAAAGGTATCAGAAATTTCTTGATTATAGGGCGATACGAAGATCGCCGGGTCATCTAGTATAATATATATGTGTAGTCAGTATAAATTTCCTTACACTTTCCTACTTCGAAGCTACAGTATTTAATATTTGATGTTTCATAAAAAGATCTTTTCTTTGAATATGACTTTATTACCACAAAAACAACTTTTAAGGTCTTTTCAAATTACAATTGTTGGAAGTCCAGTTAAAGCAAGCATTTTAATGAAAATCTCAAACTTTGGTAGATTGGAGTAAGAATGTAACCTTAAGAAATGTTTGAAAGGAAACTTAAAATTTTTAGTCAATTTTATTCCATGTTTTTACTCACGCACTTTATTACAGATTGTCGAATGACGTTGAGAACATGTATTCGTTTTCACTTCTTGTGAATTTCCTAAACAGCTCCATAATTATATGCTTCTGTTTATTTTGCTGCGCGGTGAGTATAAAGATCGTGATATAAGAGAAACACATATAATAATTTCGTGAGTGAAGCGAGCGAAACGCTGTTCTGGTGACTCATATCATTTATCTCAGAAGATGATCTCGGCAACCGAATGGCCGATGGAGTTGGGGTTTTCTATTATTATTTGGGGTAATTTTTTGTTTTGGGGGGGAAAACCGAACCCAAATTCAAAAACAACGTGAAAGACTAAAAACTCATAGAAAAAATATCGAAGATGCATCTCTTTGTCATTTTGAAACCTTTTAGCACTCCTATGATATTTTATTATAATTTTTTTATATTTTCAAATTAAATGAGTCCTACATCTGTTACCTTACCGCTTCTTTAATAATTATTTTTCAGTTCGTTGAAAAATGGAATGAGTTTATATACAAATTATTCTTCATAACCGCCATTTCTCAAATATGGATACTCTGTTGGTACGGACAACATTTGGTCGACACGGTTTGTTTGTTTTATTATTAACATGTTTATATAAAACAAAATATACTGAAAGAATGAAATAATAGCCGATCGTCATTTTCAGAGCGCCGGTGTTGGGGAGGCTCTATATAACAGCGGTTGGTATGTTTCATCGAATAAAATAAAGAAATCTATACTGATTATGATACACAGGTAATATTACAATATTGTGATGGCAAAAGTATTATTATGAATATATTACTGTAATAGAATTCCGTAAAATATTTCAGATCCCAGAAGCGAGTGCACATAACAACGTTTGGATTTTCAACAGTGTCAATGGAATGTTACTCAACGGTAAGTTTCAGTATCACAGAGTAACGCTTCACTGAGTTCATCCCTGAGGTCTTAGAGAGCTGGAGGGAATATCTACATGTCATTTATAAATATTCCTGGAACGAATTTTTATTTACATACATTTTTTTAACGCCGCTATGCGTCAAGTGTATATTTTTCGAACTCTAATCGAAACTTAACAATTGGAACACAGCATTTATTTAAAGCACTAGTAGTTGAATTATTATAAAGGAATATAATCTACATTAATTCCATTACATATGGAGTTGTAATATTTTAAACTCTTTGAATAACATCATCCTCTTCATTATTTTCAGATTCTCAAAACATCCTGGTCCTACTTCACTCTCCTAATTAATTTGTATAAGAGATAATCACACAACATAACGAAAATAGTGGCTCCCTATCAGCTTCCGCCGGAATATGCATGTTTTAACGTAATTGTACAATGTGTTCAAACATTCTTCTCCCCCGTACCTATTCGAACGTTTTAAATTTTCCTCCCCCAGAATCCTTCCTAATCGCTCCTGTGTTGCACAAAATCCTCTTGAAATCCCCTCCTTTAATACTAAATTCTATCGTAAATCCTTCTCCATCCAAGGTGCAAAACTTTGGAACTCACTCCCACCTTCTGTTTACAATGAGAGTCCAAGTGCATTAGCCTTTAAATATTGACTTAAGAGACATCTTCTATCATTTTTACCTTAATAAAATATGTAATGTTTATGTATTTATATATATTTATGTAATATATATTGTATTTATTTGTATATATTTATGTATATTCTATGTTTGTATTTATGTATATACATTTATGTATATTCCTTCTCTCATTTTATTGTACCTATGTCACATTTCTCTCCTCATTTCCTCTATCAAAAGGGTTTCGGGTAGAGATCTCTTTTCAGAGATAAGTTATCCTTTGTACATCACATTTCTTTTATAATACTTTAATTGAACCTATTTTTTCTGTTTGGTACATCAATAAATAAATAAAATATATTACAATGTATTTTTTTATTTTTTTATAATTTCTTTTAATATGAACATGTTGTCAACATATGAGCAATAGTGAATAATATAATTAAAATTGTAATATAAAATACAGAATGAAATATTCGTCAACATAATCAGGAACTGAACCCGCAACCACTCACTACTATCTGTTATAATATACAGACATACTGATATATTTGTAAAAAAAGAGACAGTTTAGCTTGAATAGTTAATAGTAAAAAACCATGGTAAAGAAGCTGAACAAACCAGTGTCGAAACTGTATTCAGGATGGACTAAGGGTACTGTTAATATTAAATTATATATTGACTATTATTAATACTGAAACAAAGAGTTGTGAATATAAAACATAAGAAATAATAATAAAATGCCACAGGTAGTTATTATCTACATGTTTACCACAAGTCTCCATAGTCACAGTATACTCTATTATAAACGTAGGTGTATGAATCAGAAGCAGTCAACGCTTCGTATGTGATGTCATGATGCAAAACTTTTACTAACATACTGTTGAATTATTAAAATTGTCACAATAAAACCAAAATATTTTCTGAGATAAGAAGCTTTACTCGCTACTGATTTAATATTAAATATATACAAGTAATAATAAAATGAGTATTTACTGTAAACTATCAAACTACTCGTAATAATTTTTAAAGCATGGTGTTTCTGAAACTTATGTGTTCTCATACAAGCTAGGATAGTAAGTTTAACTGGCAGTATTAAGATAAAGGCGGTAAAACATATTTGTTTAGATTTTTATTCAGAAACCTTCACAGTTTTACATACAAGCGACGTTAAAAAGAATTTTACTCCGATAACACTAGGCCTAAACTAATAACGAAGAAACTAAAGGTATGTTGGTTTCCATGTAACTGTTACAGCTGATAGTAAGGTCATAGACTTAATAAGTATCCTCAATATGTGACATTATAATATATGTATATATGTACAATATAAACTGATTACATATACAATGACATTAATATATATCAAGCTTGAATCATCATTATTATTCATATAATATCAATATCATATCCGATATATGTTAATAAAGTGTTCATCTGGTTAAAAGTCTTGGTGTCATATTAAGAAACTTAGAGATTGTTCACTGAATCATACTGCTATTTGAATTAAGTTTGCTGAAATTAGACTTAAATAAAACAAAAACTAAAGGAGGGTCCTAATTAACATTATAAAATTAATAGTTTCAAGTGAATATTTAATAAAATTAAGTTCTATTCACTTACCTTTATCTACATCATACTTCGATTAGTATTTTATCGAATTTATCTTTCGAACAACTTGAAATTATTAATTTGACAAAAAGCTATTTTTATTGTTCTACAACAAATAGTTTATTTAAATAAACTATGTTTGAATTAATGTCAGTATGTATTTAATTTATATACTCTTTAAATTCATTAAACTTATATTACAAATTGGATATCTATCGTTTGTCCAAAAAAAAAACTGCTGTTGAGGAAGAGGGAAGAGTAGGAATAAAGAGATGGTAAGAAAGGATGAGAACAAGGAAAGGGCAACCGGTTTCTTCACTCATAGGACGAAACGCAGCCACTGAAGACTATTTCACGCCGATCTTCTGTGTGGTGGTACTTCCCCGGTCGAGCCAGCATACGTTCGATCTTTAGCTACTTGACCACACCTGCCCCCTGGAGAAATTGCGTGTCCGTACATCAATTGATTTTGAAGGTTCTTTTTAATGCTATGGCTTCATTCACACTGAAATAGTGGCATATTATGATCATGTTATGTTTATGAATTGAATAATTTATAATGTAATTTGAGAAACTGCATGGAAAAAAGCTAATTTGGTTAATCTTGTAGATGTAAAATAAAAATAAGTTCTTGACAATTTTGTTGTTTCTTTTCCATAACTCTTTTAATAAAAGTCACAACATGGGTCATATTTTATATTTATTATGGGAACTCTCATAGAAGATATAATTATAAAAGTTGTTACTTTAAAAACATTAATGCATATTATGAGCAACAAGGGAACTCCATCATGGTTGGAGTGAATTTACACGTGACCATCATTTTAATGAACCACTGCCTTCAAAACATTATGACTTTAAATCTTTGCTGTTTTATTCTATAAGAAAACAACTTTGTTATTGGTTATGAGCAGAAAAATGTAATAATAAATTAGAATACAGTTAAGAAATAAGGGGATATTGAAGCTTTTATATTATTTATTTCCTGATATAATTTTTTTATAACTCCTAGTCATCGGTCTTGAGTTTCCAGATCAATTTAGCGATGAAATGATGTTGATATCTACTACTTCTTCTTTTTTCTCGTGCTACATTATACTAAGTCGTATTAATAGTATACTAAGTTATTGATTACATAGATAAATCAAAACCTTGGATCAAAGGTCGCTACTGCAAAGACCCAAACTTGTTCCAGTGGTTAGGTTAGGTTAAGAACTCAGAAAACAACAAGCTTGAAATACTCATTTAAGTACCATCTACAGTTCCAGATGAAGCGATGGTCATTAATGGACCATCTCACATGGACTATGGCACCATTTAATCGAATTCAGGTTTAAACCACTCTCAGACTGAAGTTACGAAGTGAAACATTAATTTAACTGTAGACGTTACTGATTAAAAATTTAGGTTTCTTAAAATTTTATTGTTAATTATTCTTATAACAGAAGACAATGTTAAATTTTGTTCTAGATATCACACTTTCAGATTGGTTGATTGGTTTTTCTATGATAAAACCGACCATATATTTAATACATATCTATTTCACATCATTAAATCTCATGCGTCACAAATAATAAACTTGTCAACTGAATGTATAACACAATAGTTTTTTCTCTGAGATGACGTTAACAAAGACAATCACATTATTCTGTTCCAAACTTAACACACAACACCTGACGTCATTAGTTTATAAACTATTCACAATATATTATGCTGCAGTACATTTTACACTGATTATAAAACTTACAAAAACATTTTCACCAACATATTCTGGAGGTAAATCATTTTTTATAATGGTATCTCGAAACATTGACACTGTGTTCTTTAAATAATTTGTAATTACATTTAAAGCGAAGCTAATTGGCAAACAATACATCTTTCACTTTACAATTACATTGATAACATCGAACTATAAACATCCGTGGCTAAATAAAAAAAATATGTACATAATGATTAATAATAATAATAAAAATAACCAGATATGTTATTTTACGAAATAGTGGATAGAGTTGGAAAAACTCATCGTTATTACTTCACTTATGAAAATAACAATACTTCTTTTAAATGCTTATCTTATTTGCTCGTAATAAAAACATATACAAGTAAAATGGAATTTAGCTAAAAAGTCTATCATGCTGAAGAGTTGTGAATACAAAGTTTAAAATCCACTCATTTAAGTTCGTACGTTCTATATTATTTAGAACATAATCCGTAAAGCTTTAAACAGTTATTCTTAGCTTCTTATAGAAATGAAATACTTTAAATTATTATTGCAAAATAAATACATAAATTCTTAACATTCTATCTATAACATTTACAAAAACAGTACACAGGTGGTTTGAAATTTGGACCAAAGGAAAGGCCATCTGATATTTTTAACCCAATAAAAATAGTTCTGTAATTGACCTGTATAGATATGTCCGCAATGATTTCTTATTAACATTGTTATTAGTGATATTAATACAAGGTTTTCGCTATAGAATGGCATAATTTTGAGAGAGGTGTTAGTGTAAAAGGTTTCGGGAACTGATGTAAGCAAACCATGAACCTCCTGAACAACGTGCATCAAACAACTGATGACTACTGTAATTACCATGTTTTACCTTGATCTACAAACTGAATTTTGATCACAGATATGTTCTCTTTGAAAGTAGGAATTGTTTTCAGACAATTAAGTGAGCATCTGATGATGGAACCCTGAGGAAAACTCTTTAAATCTAAGTCATAAATACTGTTTTAGACTATTTCTAAAGTTTAAATGGTGAGCATAATTAATAACATAACTAACATAATTCAAACTAATATTATAAATGTGATAGTCTCAATCGATTTCTCAAGATTTCACGTCAAAACTACTAAATCGATTTATATGAAATTTTGATATTTAAAAAGTATTTTTAATGAGAAATGTCTGTAATATTAGCAAAAACAATAGTAATGGGGGGATAAAAACACTAGGCACTATACGCTGTTGATTTGGATTAGGTATACTATGTCCAACAAAAGATCAATCAAAGAAGTAAATCGCACAGTACAGAAAATTTAAGGCACTCAGAATATCATGGGCAATATGGTGGTACTTTCCGTTGGCGACTTTAAAGATTTTTTTTCGATTATGACTAGAGATACGTAATAGATGCAATTTAAAAACATCTGCATTTTAGGAACACGTTTTGTCTCATTAAAATTTAATATGAATGCACATATAATAGCACAACAATTTTCTAGAAGGCAATATGAAGCAATTATCAAAATCGAGAAAGTATATTGATGCCTGTATCCCACATAATTCCAATTGTTTAGTCATTCCAGTTTAAAAAATTGCAGTTTTTTTTTAAAGAAGCATGTGCGACAACTTTTGCAAAGCTTAAGCATAAATACACTTAGAAAAAGCAATATTCTTCAGTGTACATCTTCACGTAGCGTGCTCAAGAGTAAACTTATAAAGTACATTAACAAATCCCTACTAATATTATAAATGCGAAAGTAACTCTGTCTGTCTGTCTGTCTGTCTGTCTGTCTGTCTGCTACGCTTTCACGCCTAAACCACTGAACTGATTTTAATGAAATTCGGTACAGAGATAGAGTTGACCTTGAGAAAGAACATAGGATAGTTTTTATCCCAGACTTTTGAAAGGTTCTCTTGGAAACGCGATATAACCGAACTCCACGCGGCGAAGCTGCGGGCGGAAAGCTAGTATGGAATAAAGACAAACATTTTTCACACAACTAACTAATAATATACAACTGAAAGTGATGTTCAAGTGATTGTCATTCACATAATTATTGTGGACACATAATAACACGGTCGCGTCAACAGTAGCGTTCAAACAATATAAATAATAAAATGGATGAAGACTGAGGCGTAAACAATTAGATTAAAAAAAAAACAGTCTTGAATAGCTTTTAACCGACATATAAGATGGCGGTATATGTTATAAATATACTCTTAATGATTGTTCCTTGATTCTAAGATACACAAAAATATATTGTTTATTGGTAGATGCTTTGCAATATCTATAAATTGAAAACTAAATACTAAAAATCTCCTGGATTGATCGGTAAAAACAAAGACCTTAAATATTGCTCCAAGTATATGAAATCTCACTTAAACAGAATGTTAAGCCTTAAGAATCCTTTTCACTCGTAATATAATAGTCTTAAGACCAATAAAGAAAGTTATTTACAACGCTTACTTAATGTTTTAATAGTCTTATATAACGCTGACAACTCAACATTAATTTGTAACCTAATATATGATTTAACTTCTAAATTGAATTCAATTCTTTTTTTTTGCAATAGGGTTTCTGGTTTAAATATTATTATATATTGTAATTATTTCTACTCTTTTGAATCATTATAATGTATTGATAAGATGTTTTATTAATTTCTTATTACAAGTTTTAAAAATATTAGCATCAAATAAAAGAAATATGTGATGTTATAAGTAGTGTATCCAAAAGAATTAAAATCCTATATAATTGAAGCTTACAAATATGTAGAATTAACACCTGTATTTGTTGGTTAGGTTGCGTATGAATTTTATATCTTTTCTCACGCTGCTTATATAAAACTTCATTTCTGAACCGGCTTTCCAACATTTTTGTCATTCAAAATGGCGTCTGCCTTACATAAGAGTCGGTTGAATGAAAGAAAACCTTCTTCACCAAAGAAGCAGGTAGATGTTATATTAAATCACATTTATTCGTTATTATTAGGTTATAGATTATAAAATTAAAACTTTTATTGACATCTGATATTTTCGCCAGTCATTTAAATGAAAGTAATAATATTCGGATATACTACGCGACTTTATTTTTGATAAATACTACATACTCCCGACGTTTTGGTTACTTTATAGCAAGCAATAGCCTATAGTCTATTGAAATTAAAAAAAACACCCCATTTTAATGGAGAATATGGCTGAAATCTACCAACCACCTGGGATCCTCTTCTTAAAAGTATAAAATCCCATGTCCATGACCACACCACAGGACCTCGAGACACCGTGAGCTCATTCTGCCGGCATCCAGAGCGGTACAACGGAAAATTATGAAATCGATGGCGGTAGGCGATAAAATAACAAGACCAACTGACAGACACTTACATCTCGTGTGCAAGTGATCATGGTTGTTGTAAAGTAACCGAAAATTCGAGAGTATGTAGTATTTATCAAAAATAAAGTCACGTAGTACATATATCCGCAAATATTAATAAAACATTATTATTTAAATATTATTTTTTTCCGTTTCTATCAAAAAAACATGTTATATCATACCTGCATGATATGAACAAAAATAATCAAATGATATACTAATAATATGTGAGGTTAGTTGATTCCTAATATTATTTAACTCTAACAGGGTCACAAGTTCGTTTTGGATGACTATGATGCAACTTACAAGCTGGCGATAAGAATATTAAGAGGACTGTGTCTTAAATTAACAGACGAAAAGGAATCTAAAGCATTCAGGTAATACTCATACTTGCACGAGTGAAGGCAATATTTAAAACATCTAACAAATATTCATACTACAGATACAATTTTTTTTAACCACAAATAAGTTAATAAATAGATAAAATATTATTCGTTTTATAATATTTTTGCACAGAAATTTTATATTGATTACAATTATTGTATTGGCAACAAATTAATAGATCAATTTAAATTTTAATGTGTTCTTTAAACGTGTTGTATTCTACTAACCATGTAAGTATGTATGTAATGTTTCATTCCAGTACAATTGGTAACATGATCTTCTGGTTCATGATGGTGAATGTGTTGACAGCCGCGGTGCTGGAGAGCATCTGTATGATGATGACTGGCTCAGGAGGAACCCTCGTAGAGTTGTTTACTATGATGCCGTGTGTAGGCTATCTGATGGTGTGTACGTATACTTGGAAATAACACACATATACGACGGACTCTCTCTGAGAACACAGTTTATGTATCATTAATTATAGGAGGAATCTTTATCTTTTAGTGGAGCAGACATTGTGAACAGACATTTTATTATAATTTTGCACCATGTAAATATTATTGATAAAATTTTATTATTTATGGCATCGTAATGTAACCAGTTTCTTGAATTTTCTTAAATAGACTTCCTTCATAATTTGTTTTATTAAGAGATTTATTCATAAATAAGAGATTTTTTAAGATTTTTTACCTAAGATTAGGTCTGAGACTGTACACATTTTCTATTATTTAGTGGTAGTTGTATTTCGCAAAGTTACCTGCAACACTGAAATAACAATAATGACAAAATCAATTAAATTTAAACTATGTTTTTCTATATTTTTATTTGTTATTTAATTTAGCGATGTCGAAAATCTACAAAATAAAGCGCTACAAGCCGGTGTTCATTAATCTGATGAGTGAATTGAGAGAAATGTGGCCGAGAGACAACGTCACAGATGAAGAACAAACTATTATAAACAAGGACTTGAAGAGACTGAGACTGGTTACTAAAGGTAAGAAATATATAAACTTTACAAGAAAACTTAACCACAAACTTAGAAACTTACTTCACAAAATAATGTTTAAGATGTAGAAATTGTTACTCTCTGAAATTCCATTTTTTCAAATCCTGAATTTTATAAGTTCCTACTGACTATAATTATAGTCATATATGTTATATTAGTTGATATTAACATTAAATTTCCATATAAACGTTATATAACATCTCCCCCAGCTTACTTCTCGTGTAATTCCATATTGGGTCTAATCTTCACCCTGCCATCTATCGTCAACCTTATAAAGCCTCTGTTCGGTATCGAGGCGCCTCGTATATTGCCTTTCTTCTACTGGCTACCATTCGATCCTTACCAGGAAGTCATATTTGAAGTCGTGGTGATTGTGCAGAACTCACATTGTAAGTATATTATTATATGTTCATCTTAACATTAGCCTAAAATATCCTATATGTGATAAGTCATGTGTAGTCCTTGTTCTAATTCAATTGTAATAGGAAGTACTGATCTGTAAGAATATATCATTATTATTCACTATTGAACTTAATATTTTTTATATTATTTTTCCAGGTTTCCTCTCTGCAGCCTTCATGTTAGCTGGAGATCTCTTATTCTTCGCCTTCCTCAGTAACATCACTACACAATTCTCCTTACTCGCTGTCAGGATTAAAAAGATGTTCTACGTTCCTATTGATGGACAACTTCCAGAGTCGTATCCACTTGGTAATTTTTAGCAAGTTTATATTTTATTAGAAACATTAAATACAGCACGTGAAACACTTTCTTACACGATTCAAATCTTTTTCGAATCAACAAAATATAATAAGATAATAGCAGGAGAGCCCACGATGCTACATGGGAATTTACTCGATCGTCATGGAGACTTATTGAGTTATAAAATATTATATAATGTATACCTATTCATCAGTGGGGGAGCGACTGTAGTTTTTAAAAACCCCAAAATGAACCTAGCAGTGACATGACGTGACTCCTCACATCTTGGAATCATCCATGTTCTACTTTTTTGCATAATTTTCGTATGTTAATCTGATCGTTTGTGCGGTGAGAGCAGTCTCACGCAAGGGTTGAAAGTTAAAAAGGAAATGTATCGAACGCGTCAGATTTTTTAGGTGTCCCTTAAAAAAGCCCTCATTCAATAATTCAACAATTTGTACGTGACGCAAGCTAGAGTACATCATTAGAATTTGAATTCAATAATGATCTAATTTGAATACAAATAGGATTAATATAAAATATGTAAATTATATAATCCATTGTAATTATTAAATTTGTTACTTTTATTCCAGAATGTAATAATAAAGAGAAATTATTAAATAATCCAAATCAGGACACATCAACCAACAGAAGTAAAGTAAAAGAGGAAGAACTTAAAGAAATTATTAAACGACACAAATCTTTAATTCGGTAAAGTATTTGTAGGTAAAAAACTTCTTTATTGACAGTGGTTGCTAGCAATGTTGCACAAATGAATTTCATAAATAATATTTGGAAATATTACCAAAATCTGGCAGTCTCGTACTCGTACATATCTTTTTACGCAAATTAATACAAATTAAATTATAAACCCACTTTAAAATCATTATTGCATGTATTTATCAATCTGTCACACATATAAATTAAAAATCTTTATATATATAATTCTTCTGTGAGTTCTATGTCACTGAACTTCTATCAAACGACTGGACCGATTTTGATGAAATTATTTGTGTGTGTTCAAGGGGATCTGGGGATTTATTAGTAGTTAATACAAATGTTTTTTTTGACATTAGATGTGACAACTAACTAAAATGTCAATAATTCTGTCGCACTTCAAATCACGGAGATATATGGCTTAAATAGGTAAACTCCAAAAATAAAAATTAAAAAAAAGGTATCAGAAATTTCTTGATGATAGGGCGATACGAAGATCGCCGGGTCATCTAGTATATATATATGTGTAGTCAGTATAAATTTCTTTACACCTTCCTACTTCGAAGCTACAGTATTTTATATTTGATGTTTCATAAAAAGATCTTTTCTTTGAATGTGACTTTATTACCACAAAAACAACTTTTAAGCTCTTTTGAAATAACAATTGTTGGAAGTCCAGTTAAGGCAAGCATTTTAATGAAAATCTCAAACTTTGGTAGATTGGAGTAAGAATGTAACCTTAAGAAATGTTTGAAAGGCAACTTAACATTTTTAGTCAATTTTATTCCATGTTTTAACTCACGCACTTTATTACAGATTGTCGAATGACGTTGAGAACATGTATTCGTTTTCACTTCTTGTGAATTTCCTAAACAGCTCCATAATTATATGCTTCTGTTTATTTTGCTGCGCGGTGAGTATAAAGATCGTGATATAAGAGAAACACATATAATAATTTCGTGAGTGAAGCGAGCGAAACGCTGTACTGGTGACTCACATTATTTATCTAAGAAGATGATCTCGGAACCGAATGGCCGATCGAGTTGGGGTTTTCTATTATTGTTTGCGGTAATTTTTTGTTTTGGGGGGGAAAACCGAACCCAAATTCAAAAACAACGTGAAAGACTAAAAACTCATAGAAAAAATATCGAAGATGCATCTCTTTGTCTTTTAAAACCTTTTAGCACTCCTATGATATTTTATTATTATTTTTTTATATTTTCAAATTAAATGAGTCTTACATCTGTTACCTTACCGCTTCTTTAATAATTATTTTTCAGTTCGTTGAAAAATGGAATGAGTTTATATATAAATTATTTTTCATAACCGCCATTTCTCAAATATGGATACTCTGTTGGTACGGACAACATTTGGTCGACACGGTTTGTTTGTTTTATTAAAAACATGTTTATATAAAACAAAATATACTGAAAGAATGTAATAATAGTCGATCGTTATTTTCAGAGCGCCGGTGTTGGGGAGGCTCTATATAACAGCGGTTGGTATGTTTCATCGAATAAAATAAAGAAATATATACTTATTATGATCCACAGGTAATATAACATTATTGTGATGGCTGAATTGTTACTCTGAATATTTTACTGTAATAGACTTTTGTAAAATATTTCAGATCCCAGAAGCGAGTGCACATAACAACGTTTGTATTTTCAACAGTGTCAATGGAATGTTACTCAACGGTAAGTTTCAGTATCACAGAGTAACGCTTCACTGAGTTCATCCCTGAGGTCATAGAGAGCTGGAGGGAATATCTACATGTCGCGTATAAATACTACTAGAATGAATTTTTATTTATATTAATTTTTTTTACGCCGCTATGCGTCAACTGTATATTTTTCGAACTCTAATCTAAACTTAACAATTGGAACATACTAAAGTGTGTTAAAAACTGAACACAGCATTTATTTAAAGCACTAGTACTTGCATTAATAAATAAAAATTCTCAACTTATATAGTCAATTCACACGACCGCGACTTGAACTGATTCAAGCCAAGCTCATATCTTGTTATCCTCACTATAATACCTTGAATAACGCGACATGCAATAGAAAGATGAAAATTAATTTCGCGATACAATAACTTTCATATTAATAATTTTACTTAAAACATTGTAAAGGTTCTACATTTATTGCATAACGCCTATGAAATAATTGAATTTATTTGAATAATATCATCTTTTTCATTATTTTCAGATTCTCAAAACATCCTGGTCCTACTTCACTCTCCTAATTAATTTGTATAAGAGATAATTATACAACATAACGAAAATATATTATAATGTAATTTATTATATTTTTATAATTTCTTTTAATATCAACATGTTATCAACATATATATTGTAATACTGAACTATATAAGTTAAAATAGTTATAGAAGATACAGAATGAAATATTCGTCAACATTAGCGGTAATTGAACCCGCAATCACTTATACTATCTGTTATAATATACGCTTACTGATATATTGGTGAAACAGTCAGCCAGTTTAGTATGATTACTTAATACGTGATACACATAATTATGTACGTCAAATAATTTCTGTATTGAAGATAATAAAACTTGGACTAAGAGTACTGTTGATAAGAAATTTTATGTGAAGTCTTCATCGTCACGCTATATACGAAGTTTTTCAGGTTTTATTCATGATTAACTTAGTAAATTTATTAGTATTAATGTAGGTGATTGAACAAGAAACGTTTAACGCTTCGTATGTTATGCCATGATGCGAAACTCGAACTAAGTATACCTACTCTTGAATTATTTAGATTGTCGTAATTTAACCAAAATATGTTCTGAGTTGAGAAGCTTCACTCGCTACAGATGTAATATTAAATATGTTATATGTCGGCGTGAGAGCAAAAGGAACAGGTTTCAACAAGCACGTACAAGCATGAGAGCGAACGTACGGGCGCGAGAGCAAAAGGAACAGGTTTCAACAAGCACGTACAGGCGCGTACAGGCGTTTACAATCTCTTATCGCTCAACAAGTCAGGCGAGGTGGCGAACGACCTATATAAAGCGACGTGCTAGGCGGCCGGACACACTTCAACGTTAGCACTAGCTTCGTTCACATCTCTTAATTGTGATATTTGTCACTCCTGAATTGTTTCTAATTTAAATTGTTTTCTTGATTGTAAATTAGTCAAATTTATAATAATTTGTTGAAGTGTCTAAATTTCTTCAATATTAAATTTATTAAAATTAATTATTCTCAAATTAATTGTCAATGGTCAAAATAGTTAAATTTGTCAATTACTAAATTGTTAATTTATGTTAAATTCGTGATTTTAATTTGAATTAATAAATGTTATATTGTGATTTATTATGATTATTATTTTTAACTATCACTTATGCCTGGGGACGAACGTCCATGTTTACCTATTTTACAGGGCCCTTTCTATCTCAGCCGATATCAGAAGTGGGATGGACCTTGGGAACTCTTCAGGTCCATCAGCCCGCACGGAAGGAAATGGAAATAACCAGGCTCTGTCTGCTAGAGAACGTAACGCGGCTCTACGACTATAATCAGGTGGAAAGAGGCCACGGTAACGCTTCCGCCCAGCCCGCGGCCTCCAGGTGTGGCTATCCGGTCACGAACCCAAAGCAGGATGGGTTTGTAGGGGCAACCAGAGACGTGCCAAGATGGTACGGCACGTCGTCCGACTCGAGGACCTTATTGTAGCGGGGCGGCCGACTCCCCGTGTCTGCCATCCCATTTTGCGCCATGACGGTTTCGAAAAGGAGAGGACCGCCTGCCACGACCTAGAACTATCGACCATAGATTTAACTACGTTTGATAAAGATAGGTCGTCCCCTATTTTAGTGACGAGGTTCGGTCGTTCACAGGCCAATGACATATTGTTTTGTGCTCTCTGTAGGCTCAGTGTTGGATTTGCTGGCTGTTGATAACAGTTGGATTCCATAGGTCCAGATAGGTTTTATTATGGAGCAATAAACCCTTAGCTTGTTGGACAGGGACAGTGCAGATTGTCTACCAAGAAGCCAGAGTAGGTTTTTGAATCTAAAGTTAATTTCATTGCGTTTCATTTTTATGTGTTCTTTCCAGGTCATCCTTCGGTCAAGATGAAATCCAAGGTAATTAACGCAAGCTGTCTGCAGCAACGAGTCGGATCCTTGTTTAACTGAAGGGCAGGTTGCGCGCCTCAGGGTGAATGTAATGTGGTGCGACTTCGGTTTGATACGCCACTTGGTCAGCCAGGCGTTAGTGGCGTCGAGCTATGTCCGCAGTCGTCTGGTAGCAACAGAAGTTAAGTATGGGTGCTAATCGAGAATTTCTAGCAGGACTTCTAAATCAGGCTGTGGCTCCAACAAAACGGCCGCGACTCAGCGATCCTTTGCCCTATCTACATGCTCGCACCGGTCCTGTGTTGGTGCGTCGCCGTCTGTTAGAAGAAGCTGTTATTGGAAATACAGGTGACAAAAGTTAAGTACTCTCACCGTATCTATAATAATTCCCATGGCTGCTATTACTAGTCCAAAAACGACCTCCCGTTTCAATTCAAACAAAGACCTTACGATTAGGTCTAGCTCATTTTGCAATAGATCCAAAACAATGTCACTCCTAAGGAGATTGCTATTTTTAAAAAATGATACCAATTGTAGATATGTACTCGTATCGTACGAGGTGATAATGAAGCCCATTTGTATATACTGTTCTAAAATTAGAACACACTTTATATAAAGGTGTCTAAACACTAAATATGGTGTTGGTGATAATCTTCTATATATATATAAAAATGGATTGCTATTCCTTAGTCTCGCTAAAACTCGAGAACAGCTGAACGGATTTATCTTACCTTAGTCTTGAAATGTTCGTGGAGGTTTAGGGAAGGTATAAAAACTGAAAAAAATTGATTCATTACTCGGAAAACCCTAAAAGCAGCGCTTTTCTATTTCCCATGCAAACGGGTTTTTGACATTAGATTTGACAACTGACTAATATGTCAATCATTCTGTCGCACTTCAGAACACGGAGACTTATGGCTTAAAGGTAAACTCCAAAAAAAATAATTAAGAATAATTTATTTCTTGATTGAGGCAGTACGAAGTCTGCCGGGTCAGCTAGTTATTTATAATGATTTAAATATTTGTCTACTTCACAATTCTAAGCTTTACCTTATTTATATTCTAATATTACTTGGGAATTCTTGTAACGGAAAATAGGCGCCATTTACATGTTTGATATAATTGTGTAAATTCATGTGAGGGGAACTGGAGCCCAATATTGTAACCTACCCTCAACTGGGTGTTACTTTTGATTATTATAAATACCACGCGGGTGTTAACTGGGGATTCGGTTACAAATTGTAAAGCCGTAGGCCTCGAAGTGCAAGTGTTGCCCAAATAATTTCTAACAATAGTTATATTCCCTTTCAACAATACTGTGACAATGTTTTGTGGATATTGTCTTGTAGAAATTCAGTTCTGTTTCTGTCAGATCGTGGACTTCCTTTTGACGTGTTGTTAGAAGGAAAAAAGAAAGTGATGATAATTAGAAAAACTGCGTCATTGTTATTGTTCCATATTGGTCCATAACAAGGGATGACCCATTCAAAAACTTCGACATAGTCGTACATAAATATTGACTGTGACCTTAGACGAAAATAAATCTTCCGATCAAACAAGATCACTGTAATTTTCGGTTAATATTATTAGTAAATGCGATATCTCTGAATATCTTTGTAACGTAATTGAAAATGGACAAATGTGTCCACCAGCCCACAAAGCCTTAAGATTTTATAAAATCACCTCTTCCCAGAATCGTTAACCAAGAAAAACAATTCAACGGTTTTGCAGGGTGTATTACAAAAATTCATTTCCAATTTTTCTCGTGTTCACGACACCTCTTTATGATTCAACCAAAGGTGAATTTCAAACGTCTTTAAAGGACTCATTTCTTTCATGATAAGAAATTCAAAATACCAACAGACTTTAACTCTACGAAGCGATCTAAGTACGAAGTAGATTCTCTTTCAATCTATTCACCTATTAATGGGTTTTCCTTAAAAGAATTAGATTCATGTGTTGAGTATAGGAAATGTGTTAGACTACAGAATGCTTACTTCTTTATTCGGAATCCTATTCATTTCAAAGAAACCGTGGTGAATTTTATGACCCGATACTTCGCGTATTTAACAATAGAATTGAGAAGAGATCACTGACTGTTCTCTAAGAGACGCGTTCTTCAAGAAAGCCATAGAATATCCCATTGTGGGACCACAACAATGAACTGTTGTGTCAACTGCTTTCCAGTAATGTCTTAACATGTTGGATTGAGGAAAATATTCTTTAAAATAAAAGAATCCTATTGGTTAAAAAGAAAACAAGACTTATTCGCATTCTATAAATAGATTGTCTTATCCATGAAATTTCTAATATTTTTTCAGAACGATTCCGGCTGCATCCCATACACAACACTCATCAGCGTTTGAAGTTATCCAAGTCAGGTATTAGCCGAGCA